GCGACAGAGCAGAATGTAAACTGTGCTGTAAGAAGGCGTGAATTATTGTATGTTTAAAAGTATTATTTGATGTATATAGTTTAATATTTAATGAAAAATTAAATGAAGAAACAACTAAGAGACTGATAGTAAAAATTATACTTTACACAAGTATTAATACTTAATACTCCCATCACTAATTGCAATTATTTGCCTTAGCACCTTTTCAATAACAATTGAATACATTTACACGGGACAGAGAAATAAATTGTTTGTTTGTTGTTTTTTTTTTTTTTTTAAATCGTATTGTTGTGTCGACAGTGAACAGGCCGGTAAAAGCGATTAAAATTCGAAATGATTTTATGCACTAGTGTTTGGAACGCTTAAGATTAAATCAAAGATGAGGTTAAGTTATCTTAAAGATTCAATATAAATAAAAAAACATAATGTTTCATTAGTCGTTGTTTCTGCACGATGGATTAAAAACGTGATCATAGTCTTCACAGATATTTGTTTTGTTTACATGGTTTATGACCGCAGGTGGCTGGTCGATGGTGACCTCGGCATCGTGGGATCGCGGGTTGTGTTACATAACTAAAAACATTTAGGTGAACATGGAGAACGTAAAAAGGCACAGTTAATGATCATTAATTATTCGATGCTTAAAGTTTAATATTACTTATATAGTTATATAGATACATTTAATTCCTTCCTTTATTAGAAGACGCTGTTCCCTTTAAAACTAAATTAAAAAAGAAAAGAAAGTTGTAAAAAATAATTTATGAGTTAACCATAGAACACGTTTAAAACCTTATTTAGAAGAAAATTAACATTAAATACAGTAGGTTATATTATTTATAGCGAGTTTGTTTAAGTTATACAAACGAAGAGTTCTGATTTACTTGCCGAATGAAAACGCTTACCTGTTTAAACATTGTTCTAAGTGTTATACATTTACTTTGTTTTGTTCTTATAAGGTATCTACATGTAAATAAAATTTTAAAATGAATGCTTCGAAGCGAATACATGTCAGTTTATATTTTTCAAACAATCTTTGCCAATTACTTCACTGCATGTACACGTTAGTTGTTTGTGCTGTGTAGAGCAACTATCAGAGTACACAATGTATTTCAACATCGAGGTGCCCGCGGCTCTCTGTAGCCACGTGTATGTAAACGAGGACTGGACTACAACACTTAAGACACTAAGCGGCAGAGATGGATGAAACTGTTTGCTATATTAAGACTTGAATTATAGAACATGTATATTTGAAGGAATTTTTATTTATGTTAATGTTTATTTAATTCTATAAATAATAAATGGACATTCACAAGAGTGATGGTAAAAATAATATGTGCGTAGCATGCGTAGTAATTACAATTATTTACCGAAGCCCCCATTCAATTACAATTGCAGATGAATTAAAATACAACAACACGGGATAGAGCAATACTTTTTTTAAATGTATTGTTGCGAACAGACAAAAACAGCGATTAAAATTCAAAATGATTTTTATGCACCAGTGTTTGGAATTAAGATTATAAAAGATCGGTAAAGTAATCTTACTGATTCGATATAATTAAAAACATAACTTTCCATTAATTAATAGCTCTTTGTACAAAATTGACATTATACGCGATCACAAATACTAGCTTTGTTTATGGCCACAGGTGGCTAGTACACTGGTGACCTCGATCAACAGCGTGGGATTCGCGCGTTGGGTTACATAACTAAACATCGAGCTGAACATGGAGACCGTAATATGCATACAGCTAATGATCGTGAATTATTCAATGCATACAGTTTAAAATCACTTACAAAGTTTGTTGTAATAATAAACGTAGAAAGATAGATTTAATATTCTCCGCTTTTGAACACTATTAATCTAATTTAAAAAAGAAGAAAAGAAAGACTAGTTGTAATAAATAATTTAATAGTGAACCATAAACCACGTTTTAAAACTTATTAAAAAGAAAATTAACATTAAATACCGCAGGGTATATTAATGATAGCAAGTCTGTTTAAGTTATACACATGAAGAGGTCTGATTTCCTTGCCGAATGAAAAACGTTACCTGTTTACCTGGCCTGCTTTCTAATACGTATTACGCAATACCCATGGTATACTCAAACAAAACAACATTTTCATTAGATCAAAAAGGTGTAAAAGAACAATTTTGTTCCCAAGATCCAGATCGAAATATTTACCGTTTTTGAGTTATAAAGCAAAAACTTTTAAGGGCCCAAGATCCCTAATCATAGGGGCCAGCCCCTTTTAAATAGTATCATATGAAAGCCCTTGCAATTATGCACAACTTTTGTTCTACATGTCTTAACAAAATATTTCTAGTTTTCAAGATATAAAGGAAAATATGTCAAATTTTTTGCTGTTTTCCGCCTTCTAACTTTTGACCCCTCTCTAGCGCCATTTTTAATGCAAAAATCAAAAAACAAAAACCGATGTGCACAACTTCAATGCTTCCTCTTTTCAATTTCAAAAGGTTTTGTGCTCCAATTATAACCATTTCTGAGCCTTTGTCTGGAAATCGGAGGCATGCAAAATTCAATCAAAGGGGAATAACTCGTGAACAGAAGGTAATTTCCGAATTGTATTACGGTATTCTGACAGTGTTTTGTAAAGTCTAAAAGCTCTGAAAATTTGAACAAAATCTGTTTAAAAATGAGGAAGATATGAAGCGTCAAAGTTGGCGTCTAGGAAAAAAAAAAAAAAGAATAATCTTAATCATCACAATCAGTAGAAGGTCTTCCGTTGGAAACGGAAGACCTTAATAATCTTAACCATCAGAATCAGTAGAAGGTCTTCCGCCTGGAGCGGAAGACCTTAATGAAAGAAGAGTTGAAGGAAGCCAGGGCAACAGAAATGAGAGGCCAGGCCAAGGTGCATGGACAAGATAGACAACAGAGAGAAAGCGAAATGGGAGGGGGGGGGGGCTTGTGGATGGAACCCCACCGCATTCAAAATCTAAGATCTGTCTATAATCTGTTACTATCACCAACAAACCTGAAAACCTGAGTTCTTACGTGATTTATGTGAAAAAACAGGAACTTAAAATTAAAGCATACGCAATTTGTCATCTTGCAATATTGCTCTAATACAAGGCAGGTGCAGATAGAGACATGATCGCGTATTAAAAGAGCTATAGCAGATATCTTAGAAAGGGAACAGATTTAGAAGAGGGGCAGGACAAAGAAAAGCAATTCGTCAACATTGTGAAAGGTGAAATCTTTAGCAGTCAATAAAACACAGAAACTGAAATCCATCCTAGCAGCTTCCTGGGCAGACCTTGGACTAAGACTGGTATTCATAGACATCATACAGACAAAGCTTTGTCATACAGACCTCATTTGTTATGGTCCAAAATCAGCAGGATCATTATGGTGGAACTGTAAAGAGATGTGAGGAAGCTTACCAGAGGAAGAAAACAAAATTCCATGATATGGCAGATAAAATGCGCACCAAAGGATGGATGACAAGGGTATATTTCCGGTAGAGATTTATAGCACAGTGCACCCTGAGAACCAACCGTGGAAATCACAGGACAGTACAGAAGATCAAAAATACAAATACTAGCAAACACAGCAGAGTAGTTATCTTGCTTGTGTTGGAAAAGAGCAGAACAGAGCTGGAACCCATCTACAGACGGCAGCGATTTATCCAATCAATGCCGACTTCCCATCTTGAGGACGTTCCAGGTTTGAGTCGAAATGGTTAGACTTGGCTGATGACGTCTGGGGTTCCAGCAGTTGCAACATTCTGTTTGATTACTTGTAGGTACCATTAGACCAGGATTTGCAGATGCATGCAACTCTTTACGGGATTGTAATAAAACAGGGGGCAGTTTTTCAAAGTAACATACGATTAAGACCCCCCAAAATAGTTAATTTTTCGAATAACTTTCTTCTTTACATCTTTTTCAAAATGGATTTGGTCTTTTTGAAAACAAATATTGAATTATGCAAATAATTTAAACAGAATAATTGATTTTTGCAAGATTTTATAATAAAGTTTTTGGTGATAGTGGTAAGCTCATTTGTAAAATGGACTCAGACTATCTTGATTGTTTAGTTGTAGCCGACCCACATAATGTAGTTGACATGTTGTTAAAACGTCTCGTCAACCACATCAGGCAGGGGGATCAAACGAAAAACATTTTCCATGTGGAACGGAAGGAGAGACTTTGTTCGTTTTGTTTTGTTTTTCTTTCTTTTGGCATATATGGTTTTCGGTCTAAGTGTCACATACAAAGTCATGTCCTATGTGTTGTGAACTGTTGAATAGGATAAATTCAGATTTTAGTACGTTATTGCATATGTCCCATAGGTGTTTCAATCTCATAGCATAAGTTCATTTTTCAATGTCACTGAGCAATGAAAAAAGAAAGGTACCTAGGTGGAACTCTGCAATTCTTGGTTTAAATGTATTCAAACTTGATAAACCTAGGTATGTCTAGGTCGTATATCTAATACATGTAATATGTAAATAATTATTTTGTTTTGATTGTTTACTCGTAAATATTCACTGGTATTTTTGCCTTTTCACTAAAAATATGCGCAAGCCATGTATGGACATGAAGCACCAGGCTTATAGATTGACAGCTGTTGTCTCACTTTACAGTATGCTTAGTATCTGTATTAATTATGCAGAGCCGAGCAAATATCTCTATGAAACATACAATGGCATACAGTTTACATACTACGAATGCACACGCATGCATCGATTAAAAAATACATGTAGTTAATACCAATAATCACATTGGGATCTTTTCCTCATCAAATACCAATGTGCAAGCATGCACAACCTTATTTGTTTGTGTGTGTGTTGTTTAACGTCCCTCTCGAGAACTTTTCACTCACATGGAGACGCCACCACTTGCCGGTGGAGAGCTGCAAATTTTGACCTATACTCGGCACTCGGTGCCATTGAGCAGTGAGGGATCTTTTTCGTGCACAACCTTGTAAATAACCCTTATATGTTTATTACGGACGACAAAGACGCAATAATAATACATGTACAGTATAATTTAGATAAAAAAAATTCTCAAGTGTGTTCAGCAGGAAACAACAGACTATTGTTCCAGTCCTTCCATAACGTATTTTTCATCCTCTCGCAGTATTCACGTAAGTTAGAAAATTCATCTGAAAAGAAATAACATATCATAACTGAAAACGACAGCTTTTAATAACAACGATATGCTCTTTCCCATATCACTTTCGAAAATTAGTTCAGATTACAGTATTGACTAAAAATTTATTGCCTGTATCTTTTTTCTTTTAAAAATGTGTTTCGTTATTTATCTCTTGACGATGATGAAAATTTTTTAGAGAAACCATGAAGAGAAAAACAAAAACAAAACAATCAAACAAACAAACAAAATTAAAAACAAACCGAAAAACACGAATATATGAATGCCTCACCTTTTAACATAACGTTTGGCTCTGAATCTGGTAAATGCCAAAGAAATTGAGATAACTGTCCAAATATACTACAGTCCACCGACGAAGGCTTATCGCCAAAAAAATATTTTTTAGTTCCTGTAAATGACATGATTATTTTATTTTTTATTTTTTTTTTTAAATGAAGTTTAATGCAAATAATTATATGGACATTACAATCCATTCGTAGCAATTCAACAGAAGATTTCATAGGTGTTTTCAAACTTTAAAAAAAAAAATTAAAAGGTTACCTAGAAAATTAGACAATGCCCGGAGATCTTTTCTTAGAATATTCAATAGCTCTTCTTTTGTATGTCTCCCAGCTCCTTGTGTGTAAGTTGCCCTCTTCTGGACATGTTTAGCGATAGTCAGAGCCAGTAATCCCCATTTTGCTTGTTTTAAACATAATTTCTCGTTATCAAATGCCCATCGCCAATGAACCATCAACCTGGTAAATTTTCACAATCCTATTGCTCAAGGCATGCATATATTTTAATGGCAGCATGATATATAAAAACATTAAAAAGTCATTTTGTATGTCAAGGACAATTATATTCTTCAAAAACATAATGTGTTTCAATGTGTTTTTTGCTTAATGCTCTGGGAGTCGGGAAAAGCATACTTCATTTTATTCTTGTTCACCATGTGTTACTGAGTATACTTCAGTAATTGTATCTGTGAGTCGAATTTAAGAGTTATTTTCATTTTCGTTCCTCATTGAAGATATTTTTCTCACCAATAAGTATGCTCGTCAACCATTCGCTGAAATGACGTCCCTATGGCTCTCTCTGTCGTGGACAGATGGTCGTCTATGTCAATGTGTAATTCTTCTATTAAATATTCCATACAGAGCTGAGAGTCACCCATGGCCGCTCCATTATATTCCATCCAAGGTACTTTACCCTTCGGTCCCAATTTGTAATCTCGAACTATCTGTTACATGTACATTAAACGAAACTTATAGTCTGATTGTATGGGAGTCTACTGGCCAGCCAGCCTGACATTCTTATTTGATTTTGTCAAATAAATGTCTGCAATATGACTTTTTTAATCATATTTCAGATTTGTATTTGACAAAATAAAATACATATATGTTAAAAAGGACTACATTGTGTCACAAATGGACTTACTGTTCCCTTCTGGAGATTATGGTTTCTAGCGTATTTGAATATACTTTTCATTGAATAGTTTGACCGTAAAAAATAACTATTGAAATAGAATTTTCTTTTGTACCTACAAGTATACTTACTTCGTAGGGAATGTCTGTCAATTTAAGAAATGTTTCTAGTTTGATAATAAATGGCGACAAGCTAGGGGCATATGGACCTTTTCCACAGTGGTGTAAAAGTACCACGTCCTTGGGCCATGACTGAATTCTAGAGTAAGAAAAAATGAGAAATATCAGAACTTTAAATGATCTGGTTATAACACACAAATTCCACAATGACATACAAAATATCCTCAAATCACACCAGAATATTAATGTAATGAGAGAGAGTTTTCAAATACGCAATCACATTTTTTTCTTCTGTGCTTGTCATGCAATGACAATGACAGTGTACATTCAAACCAGTTAAGTTATTCTGGAATTTTGGCAAAAATATCTTTTTTTCATTGAAATCTATGCTAAATTAAAAGATCATTGTTTTACAATTTCTTTAAACTTAAAAGACCACTTCATCTTTTTTTTTTCTTCTTTTTTTGTGGACTATAAATGTACAGAAAATCTGACATACCAAAGATATATATGAGAATTTTCTTTCCAAGAGAACCACAGTTCTGCAGCTATATGTTTTGACTTAGTACAGGTTATATTTTAAGTTCTAGAAGAGCTTATGCATTAGTAAGGTGCCCGTCGCCCGTACCCCGTACGTCTCTCCGTAAATAATTTCTCAAAACAGTTTTGGCCCGGTTTCAAATAGACTTGGTACATAAGTAGACGATACTAAAATACGTAATTCTATGTTTTCTATTTTGACACGGGATATTGACATGGTTACTAAAATAGAAATATCTGTGTGTTTCTTTGAAAAAAGCTAGTCAGCCTACGGTTTAAATCCGATATTAATGACACAAGTAGACTCTACTTAGGTGAATAATTCTACTTATCTGTTTTTGATTTCAACAATCGTTGTTTCTACTAAAAATATAAATTTCTGTGATTTTTTTTTCAAAACATCACTCCTACAGTTTTGGTTGGATTTCAATTAGACTTGGTACACAAATAGAATATACTAGAATATATATTTCTTAATTGTTATAAGTACACTCGGGTAGAGCTACAGTCTCGCCAGAGACTTCTTAATTTTGTGTAAAACAGTGTGTCTTGGCGATGATAGAAACAACACACTATATTTGAAAAACTGCAGACCTAATGTTTGAAGATCCCTGGTCTAGATAAACAGTTTCGATTTTTTTTTTTTCAGAACGGCGAGATACACTTACTCACTATTCCGTGATGTTAATGAATATACTCTCTTGCTTTTTCATTAATATCTCTCAAGTTTCAAATGACAATAAAAACCCAGATATGAAGTCTTGTCTTGGCTGTCAACACAATCGTATGAAGTTTTATTACTCGAAATATTGCCATAGATACACGCGTATATTTATTTCATATTATTCTGCCTTAATCACTTCTCTGCGATAATGCGTTTTTGGTGCACCTTTTTACATTTCTACCTACATTCGTAAACAACTTTAATTTAAAGATTCAAACAACTCCAAAATGTTCATTCAGAATGTACTCGTATACATATACATAATATGTTGAAAAAAAAATATTTAAATTCATTTTCCATCAGACGTAATTGCAAATTTGAAAATAACAAAAGAATTTCAACGTTTTGCTTTGCATTGTATGCCGAAGGTTCTCGAAAATATTTTTTAAAGAGAAAAGAAGCAAAATTAACTATTTATATATAAGTTAATACATGTTTAACTTAAAAATTTCATATCTAATGAAAATAGTTTTTTTTTCTTGGAAGGGGGGGTCCAAATCACACGCAAAATTTCAGTTTCAAATAAAAAAAAAAAATAACCTACTGGCTTTTAATTTAAGGTAAAGGTGTGATAGTTCCTTTAAAATTTATCCATCATTTAATATTCCCAAGGGATTTTTTTTATTCTATCAAAGACAGGAAAAATCTTACCCTTTGGAGTGTCTACGTAGTTTTATTATCCCGAGGAGCAGAACTGTACAGACGATCGCGACTACAGCTGTTAACGAGGAGGGAACGTCCGGAGACATTTCATCTGTCAGTCACACTCGCCTCCTAAAAAATTATCCTTAACCAATAAAAAACAAAGCATTATGGACCAAGGCATGGGTAACCCGGATTTAACATAAAAGACATTTATTATTTGTTTATACTAGAGGTAAGAAATCCTTCATAAAGATCGCTAAAATAAATTTAAAATAATTTTAAACCAATTTTTAAAAACCTTATGGATCGTTCCTTCACTATGAAAGACATACAAGAAAATTGAAATGCAAGACAACATTCTTAAAACCCTTTTTCTGTGCACTTGTCTTTTTTTAACTGATAACTATACTTTTATATTTATACCTCGTTTATTTTTCGCAAAAATGCACTTTATTTCGTTACAAAAAAGGAGGTATGCATGCAGCAAGACGGTGTGCATTGCAATGTGAATCCATGTACATAATTTTTAGAATCTATGCAATATCTTTGAAAATAAATGAATTCTATATAATCTTACCTAGTAATATTCAGAAAAAAAGAGCCGTGAGATTCATAAAACATTCATATGGATACACATCGGAATTTAAAGCGAAAACCTCCACCAGCATTTTACGCATCAATGATTCAAAACAGTGTAACAATTTCATCTGAACAATATATTAGGTATAACCTACTTGGGTGTGGATTATTCCAGCTATGTAGATATGATGTACTTGATGTCAATAAAAGAAGATATTAGAAGTCAATCTTCCACAACAATAAGGCTTCTTTGGTCGATTTCACTCATGTAGATAAATTCATAGATATACCAACAAGCAACCTTATTTTCGATAGCCATCCTTGGATATCAAATTTATTCAGCAATGATTATGTTTTTCTATGCTTGCCTAAAACAAAGTCCAATTTGTCATCAGGTTACTTTAAAAAAAAATCATTCAATCGTGCTATTTGATCTACTAGTACATCAAATGCAGTGTTATATCTAGTAAAAGATGTACATGATCAAATGATATGATATACTAGTATACATTCTAATACGTTAATAAAGTAGATTTTTACTGAGAATATTGTTTAATCCCGGGGTCATCTGACCTCAAATTACTCATGAATCTGAGAAACCTTTATTTCAGTTAAACACAGCTTTTAGGATAAAGAGGCGCTACGGTAGGAATCAAACTTTTTGTTGGGTTTTTAACGGTAAGCTGTGACATTACATGAAGGATTGGCCACTACGTATGAAATAATAATTAAGTTTAAACGACAGGAAAGATTCAATTTTAGGTTGTGCGTCGTGGAAAAATTGGGTATAATAAAATCTTTTTAAAACAGCTTGACAACGGAAAAATTGAATATAAATTATCAAACAAATTGATACTGAACACAGAAGCATGAAAATCTATCCATTTCCTGTATCAAATATATTTAGTTTTCGCTGAACATGCAAGAGTTTAAATATGATTTGCAGTATAAACATAGATTACGTAATGTAAACCAACGCTTACAGAGGACATATAGAGCTTGTAAATTAAGTTCTTAAAATTCGTCAAGTTACTTTGTTAAGGAAAAACACTTTAATGAACAATTTGTCACATGCAGTAATACAGAAAGAAAACACGTATAGCATTCCTATGAAGCACATGCTTTTTGAATAAAAGTACAGGTTCAGACTTACCTTAAAACTCTTCTATCGTCTTGACAAAATGCCTTTTTTTAAATCACGTAAGGTTTTTGTTTGTAGCTTTATCACATATCTCCGTTCATACTTTTTTATTTTAAAGCGCCCTTGATGATATGCTTATTCATTCCTGTTAGGAAAAAAACGCTTTTAGAAATCAGTCGTCAGGAATGGACTTTTTAAAATTTAGCAAAAAATTATGGAAAAGTTTATTTTAGGCAACAAATTGATTAATTTCCATTTATATTTGATCTACGAGGGTGTTGGTGAAATATTTCTTTCAAACCTTCGTCTTAGAGGAATTTATTTGGAGTGCCAGGTCAAATTGCCATTTAATGTGTAGGTGCAAACACTGGTTCTTCCATGTGTATTTATCTTCATTTAGGATCAGTTTAAACTGCAAATATTTCAGAGGTGCTAAGTACATCAATCATGCACTAAAACACGTAATAGGTGTACGGTCTCCTAGGGATTTTTTTTATACACGTCAAGTCAATAGTACACTTTACTGCCTTTTTCGTCTTTCGTTATTTTTAATGATACTGTTATACAGAGAGAAGACAGACACTTACGAAAAGATGTTATGCACGATAAACGAATTAAAAATAAAACTTAAAGTATGTAAACTGACTGCATAAAAAGGATATTTAAATTTCATCATAAAGAACCCAATTATGAGCAAAGTTCACTTTTAAATTCAGAAAATCGTATTGCCAATAACATTAGTCTGATGAAAGGTGTATCAATCGTAAATTTGTATATATTAGGGATGTCAATGAATGGTCGACTATTCGACCATCAGTCGAATGGACCGACGATCGAATAATGAAACGACATTCGAATATTATTGCTAGCGCTCTCGAGCGCTAGCAACTACGTTAGTCTATATTTCTGAAATACGCATGCTCGACTTCACGGTCGGGGATTCTGGGAAAACTACTGTACATAGACTGTACGATAACAATTTCGTTTTGTCATACAAAAATAGAAATGATCCGAATTTACACTGGCCTTTCCTGTCTGATATGCGCGATATATATTTCGTAGGTTAGAGACAGTCAATACCAGTCTAGATCCGGACTCTGAATTTTTTAAAATTTATTGTCTAACCTACACATAAAAGTACAAGAAAAAAATTTGGCCATATAATGCCAAGATTCTAGACATCTAGCTTCCCTTACAGTTTTACCACCTTAGTGGATAATTCCGACAAGCTCGGAAAAAACAACAACAACAAAAATCTTTTTCAGAGTATGTCGGAAAGACATGTCAATTTAGTACGTGTTTATCATCTGAAAATACATATGATCTGAAGTTTCGTGTTTTGTTGTCTAACCTGCACGTAAATGAACAAAAAGTAACAGTAACTCGGGTCTTATAAAACCAAGACTGTTATTTCTAAAGTTGTAATGAATACATAGCTTTTCTAATCTACCTTCATGGATCTTTCCGGCAAGCTCGGAAAACCGCGACAACCTCGGATACGTTTTCCGGGCTTGCCGGAAAGTCCCGAAGGTGCTCATTGGTTCTACTGACCTTTAATTTTTCACCTCGAAATTGAAATTACAGTAAAATACAGAATGCTTAAAGCACAGTTAGGAGTTATGCCATTGCCGACGTGAAGCACACTCTTAGATTCACCATCCTGAATTGTGACACCCCCACCCCCCACAAACTCAACCCCCCAGTGCACCAATCTGCCTTCCTATTAATAATTAATCGATTCAGCAAATTTAACAAATGGTTCAGATATCTTCTTCTGTATTTTATTATGCTACAGCGCTAGCTCACCAATCTTTTTAAAAGATAAACTTGTTATTAAATAAATGCAATAAAAGAGTGATTTAACAAGATGGAATTCTCTATGGAATTCTCATCTTAAAATTGAGAAACCGTCTTTCCTCACTGACAGTCGAAAAATTTCCTCAACAAAAAAAACGATTGACTTTCCATGTACTTAAAAAGGTACAGTAATTGTAAGTGCTTCACTATACCGCGGGAATTATATGTCAGATACTGCCCTTGTTGTTTTTTGTAATAAATTACCCATCAAATTACTGGACTTTGTTTGGAAAACTGTGTTAATTGGGCTTGATCTTATACCCTGTACCAATTATATTTTGTTATACATCATGTATTAGGATTGCTCAAATCCAAGGAACACACCATAGCCGTAACGTGTTTTGACACTTTGATAATTATTAAAACAATCCGCTTACATATTTTAAGGGCATTTTGATAGCCGGGACAATCAATTGAATAAGCAGTATCTAACTGTTTGACAATATCACGAGCACTTGATTTTTATTTATTTTATAATAAGCTAAAAAGTAAAAATTGAAAAAATATATCGGCTGGCAATTTTTAAATAATGCTTACTAAAACAAAAATTGACTGTATAGACCCATTTATGAATTCGATTGATGGGGAAATTATACATTTTGGAGAATTAGGTGTCTTAATTTATTTCATTTATTCATGCTATCCACACGTTACACTGCATTAATTTTGAGGTTACTTTTTAAAAAGATTTATGTAAAAGGATTTTTGAGTTACAAATACGTCATGTACCAGTGAAGTTAAAAATAAAATTTTATTTTCAGAAAATGTTCCGAATAATCGACTATCGTTCGAATAATGCAACTGAATAATCGACTAAGGAAAATAAATATTTTGACATCCCTAGTATATATACACTATTAGGTGAAACATTTATACTTTAAATAATGCATTTTCCTCTGTTGCAAAAACAAAAATAAAGGTCAAAACGATAGCTAGGCCCTGCTTGATATAAAATATGTTGAATAGGCATAAGGTCGACCTTGACTTTTGAACTGAAAATCAGTGAATCTCTTCAAGTATTGGTTTATAAGACGTCAATGTTAGAATAAAAAAAAATACTCTTTATTTTTGATTGAATCAACATACTCAAATAAAATTTTCGAGACACCTAATTTTTTGGTGTTTTATTAGAAGCGAAATAAAATTTTCAGGATTTTTTTTTTTTTTTTTTTTTTTTTTTTTGCATAAAATCTTAAATAATACAAATATACTTATTTATTTAGCCTTCTTGCTTGGGGCGCATAAGGCCTTTACCAATGGCCGCTATCCCTGTCAGCGGAACATATTCTGTTCCATGTCCTAAGTATACATGTACCTAGATCTTTCATCACTTGAGAGAAACATGATGAATATACAATACTTGGATCTATAAAAATTTATAGACAGTGCAACCGAGGTGTAAAAAGACATTAATAGTGAGAAAGCAAAGCGGATTTTACATGTGAAACAAATTCAAGGCTGATAAAACTTATTGTAGAGCAAAAGAAAGGAAAAAGGTGCAATGGCTGAGGCGGGTAATGTTGGAAAATAGAGAAAAATGGGCTCTATTTTTAGGTCACCTGAGTCACTCAGGTGAGCTTTTGCTATCTTTTTTTGTCCTCCGTCGAGCGTCGGTCGTAAACTTATGAACATTTTCATCTCCTTCTCTCGAACCACTGAACCAATTTCAACCAATTTCATCAGTGGGTGAAGGGGTACAAAATTTTGGAATTTCATGCCCCCCCGGGGGGGGGGGGGGGCAAAGAAGTGGGGCTAAAACCATCAAAATTAGTGCTATCTTTAAAAATCTTCTTTACTCCTGGACCTCAAGTAGTCAAACTGTTGGCATGATTGTAATGTGCATTAAGCCCTCTACCAAAATAGTGAAATTCCTGGCCCCATAGTCAGGGGTTCTGGAGTTAGGGCAGGGCTCTAATAATCATTTAGTGAGAATGCATAAATACTTTAAAAATCTTCTTCTCTCCCCCTGTATATTTAGAAGATAAGCTAGTGCCTGATTATGACGAGCAAGGGTGCTTCTTCCAAAATTGAGAGAACAAGAGAGATCAAAGTAAGAGGGATTGTGATTAGAAATTTATGGCCCAAGGGTCGGGGGTTCTGGAGTTTGGGAGGGGATCTAATGATCATATAGTGAAACTATAAATTCTCTGAAAATCTTCCTCCTGCTCCTGGTTATTAGGCAAACAAAATTGGGGAAAACGAGTATAATACTGTTATAAGAGTATATAGTTCGAAGGGCTGGGTAATACATCCTGGATCCCATAGACCTTCATCTTTTTACATGGGATATATGGGACTTTCATAAGAGTATATAGTTCGAGGGGTTAGCTAACACCCTGGATCTTATAACAGTATTATACGCGTCTTCCCCAATTTTGACCGGGTTAGCTAAATAGGTTACCAGTCTTGTAAACTCAATTCTTTTGACAGTCAAGGGGTCTCTCCCAGACCCCTCTCCTGTAAGAAGATGAAGGTCAAAATATGGGATCCAGGATGTTAGCCAGCCCTTCGAACTATATACTCTTATAACAGTATTATACACGTTTTTCCCAAATTTGACCGGGCTAGCTAAATAGGATACCGGTCTTGTAAACTCAATTTCTTTTGACAGTCAAACGGTCTCTCCCAGACCCCTCCCCTGTAAAGAGATGAAGGTCTAAATATGGGATCCAGGATGCCAGCCAGCTCCTCGAACTTTGTACATATATAACATTATTATATGCGTTTTTCCCAATTTTGACCGAGCTAGCTTAAAGTTATATATGGCGTATTTTTTTTATAAGTTCAGACAAACTAAAATTAAAAAGATCTTTCTATTTGTTTTATTACTTTATATAAAGATAGGACTTTCCTGTAAATTACACAATTTAATTCAATCACGTTTCAAAGATATTAGAAATTTAATTAATTAAAACAATAGCCGATTTATTTACCGATTCCGCATTTAAATAACAGACACAGTTTTAAGTCAATTTAACAATGGAAACTTGAGATTATTCAAGTTCAAAATCGGTGAAAATTTTAATTTGAACGTAAATAACATATATCATAGTTATCTACACTCGATTTCATATTTTTTATATTTTTAGCCCAGATACGCCATATATAGCTTTAATGCACTTGCTCAACCATTTGTCCTATGATATCAGTACCTATGTCATAATCATAATGGATTCTTATCATTTAATACGCAATTCATCTCAATTTTGATTCACATTTCCTTTACAAGCAAGAAGAATCTGTTGTGAATATACAGTTTAACAAGAACCTTTATTCAAAAATATTCAAATCCATCAGAAAAAATTCAAGATTTTAAAATTATTACAATTCTATAATTATGCTCCCGTAATCGAAGATTTGGGGGTATATAGTTTTTGGCCTGTCCATCTATCTGTCTGTCCGCAAAAAACTTTAACATCGCCTGTAACTTTTGATTAATTGGAGCTATGGCTTTCATATTTCACATGTGTGTTCCATAAGACAAGACCTTTCTTTAGGTACTAACATGTTTGACCTCTTGACCTTGGAGTTTGACCCACTTTTGCAGACATTTACCCAACTTTAACCTTGGCCGTAACTTATGAACAGTTAGTACTAGGACTTTCAAATTTCACAGGTTTATTGCTTGTGACAAGACCTTCCTTGGGATACCAACAATTTTGATCTTTTGACCTTGACCTTGGAGTTTGACCTACTTTTGAAAAACTTGAACCTTGACCATAACTTTTGAACCATTGGTGCTAGGGCATTTATATTTTGCATGTGTATTTCTTATAACAAGGTCTTTACCTGTTAACCATTAATTTTGACCCTTTGAACTTGACCTTGGAGTTTGACCCACTTTTAGAAAATATTAACCTTGATCATAAGTTTTGAATGGTTGGTGCTTTGACTTTAATATTTACCAGGTATATTCATTGACATAGATCCTTTCTTTCGGTATAACAACATTTTTGATCTCTTGACCTTGGAGTTTGAATTGAGAAACTTCAACCTTTGTCATAAGCTGCCATGCGGGGGCATCAGTGTTTCAAAAACACATCTCGTTTTCTTATCAATCATCAGTGGCAGATCCAGGGTTCTTGAAAGAGGGGGGGGGGGAACCAGTTAGGGGTTTGGGTGGGGGCACAGGGGGCAAAGCCCCAAGAAGCTCTCAGGTTTTTGGATTTTTTTAAACAGTTTTTTTGACTTATTTTAGCTATATTTTAGATATAATTAGTGCAATATCCCACTCCAAAACATTGCTCTATTAATCTTTTGTAAATTTTTTGTCAAAAAAAGGGGGACTGCACCCCTCTAGATCCACCAGTGATCATTCATTAATGGTTTTCCACATTAGCCAGATCTTAAAATAACATCACTGTCAAGGCGGTTATAAGGAAAACGAAATTAATTCAGCTCATTTATTACCTTCTAAAGATGCAAAATTACAACCAATTTAAAAATGCTCATGCATTAATACTCTCATTTTTTCAAAAATTGTCTTTAAATTTAAAATTACAAAAATATAACTGCTACAGGCATAACCTTTAGAATTTATATTCTTACTCATAAATAATTCTATCACAATGATATTTATGAAGAATTTGCTAAGAATAATGCTAAAAATTGACATTTTTTTGTTTGTTTTTATTTTGTGCATAAACTAGAATGGGATATGAATCACATACTCTTGTTTTGTTAAAAATTTATTCTTAAGTACAAATTATATTAGTAATCCACTATCAAAATTTATTTATGGCACTTTTTTTCTGTCAAAATATCTGAATTTACATGTAACTCACAATAAGCATCAGTATCTAGAGGATGTAAGCACCAAATTATTGAAGATATAAAACTAATATTCAACAGATATCGCTCTGTTAGCATATTTTATCACAATCAAATTTGGAGGTATTAAAATATATACATTTTTTTGCATCACATAAAAATAACCTGCAATGCACATAACAAATGATTTTTAATTCAAATGAATTGTTAGGTAAAAATTCATGACTTTCAATTTTAATACTGTACAGATTTGATATTCACTGAGTTTTCAACTATATTTGTTGTATTATAAAAAATATAACTCAAGGGAAAGTACCTTAAATGATATTGATTATAAGACATCGTCAAACTACAACACTGAATAACATCAACAAAGTTCTCTGTTCTAGCATCCAATTTATAAACTGAAACAAAAACAGCAAATCATTGAAAAATTTATATCACTTTGTACTCTACAATACTTATAATGCAAAATGGGATGTGTTTATACCTGGGGAATAAATTAAATGAAGAACTTTTAATGCATAGAAACTTCAGAACTCTCTTTCTCTTCATTCTCAGTTAAACTAAATTAATGAACATTTTATTCTCTCTAACACTCACAAATTCCAGTAAAACATGGTTACAGTGAACACACTTATAATGAATTCATGTTTACAGTGAATTCTCTTTAAATTTAGAGAATATGATGAAGTTAATAGATATATAGAATTACTTTTGCAAGAAATCTAAACTGTTCATCCCTGGCACTTTGTTATAACCATACCGGTAATTTACCATTTCTCAATAAATTTGTATTTTTACTCGGAATAGCAGAATATGTTCACTAATATTTCACAATCTTTTTTTATCATTCAATTTTTTTAAATATATAACTGAGTTCAGATTTTTATAATAAAAAAAAAAACATGTAATGCATTAGCTGCAGAACTGTAGCGTTATGGTTTTATATTTTAGTCTTTGACCATAACGCTACAGATCCCATAATGTAAATAAAGTGCAATTTACGGCGCAAGATTTTCTGCGCACTTTGGGGAAGTATTTCGCCACTTTCCAGCATTGGTCAATCAACAATCTTTCATCCCCTAATTCTAGACATCTTCTATAACCAACCTGTATATTTTATCTACCTCCTAACCCTTTCTAGTCGTCTCTACAGACCAATAAACTCGCTTGCTGTGAATTTGTTGTCGGATGGCATAACAAGTTTATTGGTTTGTAGAGACGACTATAAAGGGTTAGGAGTGGATAAAATATACAGGTTGGTTATAGAATATGTCTAGAATTAAGGGATGAAAGTTGTTGATGACCAATGCTGGAAAGTGACAAAATACATCCTTTAAATAGTATACACAATTGTTCACATGGCAAAAATGTCCACAAATGTTATTTATCAATTATGGAAGACATTTTATTTTATTGCAAGATCAGTATTTTCACATTCATTATTAAAGAAGCACAGCACTCAAATGAATATTCACTTTTTAACCAACAGAATCCATAATAAATATGTCATGATGATAATGTATATAGCATAATATGCTATAGAATTATCTAAAATTTTAAGAAAAAAAAGTTGCTGTTTAGGAATGTATATAATGAAATAATTCTCTCTGATTTTAAGCTAATAGCAAGAGGCCCAGGGGCCACATCGCTCACCTGAGCACTGTGGCTAAGAAAAAACAAAAATAAGTTTAGTATTGCAATACTTAAATGCATAAGTGGTCCCGACCTACCCCTAAATGGGAGAGGGGTATGATTTGAACAAACTTGAATCTACACTACCTGAGGATGCTTCCATGTAAATATGACCAATCAAGGCTTTTTTGTTCTTGAGAAGAAGGTTTTTAAAGGTGCTCCCTATGTATTCCTATGTAAAACACTGATTGCCCAATGTGGCCCCACCCTATCCCCGGGGGTCATGATTTGAACATACTTAAATCTTCACTACCTGAGGATGCTTCCATATAAATATGACTAATCAAGACTTTGCTGTTCTTGAGAAGAAGATTTTTAAAGATTTTCCCTATGTGTTCCTATGTAAAACTTTGATCGCCCACTGTGGCCCCACCCTACCCCTGGGGGACATGCTTTGAACAAACTTGAATCTACACTACCTGAGGATATTTCCACATAAGTTTCATATTTTCTAACACAGTGGTTCTTAAGAAGAAGATTTTTGAAAGATGCCATAAATTTTTCATGAAATCGCAATTATCTCCCCTTAGAAGGCGTGGCCCTTCATTTGAAAAAACTTGAATCCCCTTCACCCAAGGATACTCTCTGCCAATTTTTGATTGAAATTGGCCCAGTAGTTCTGGAGAAGAAGATGAAAATGTGAAAAGTTTACGACAAGAACAATGACGCCACGACAACAACAATGATGACAGACAACGGACAAATTTTGATCAGAAAAGCTCACTTGAGCCTTTGGCTCAGGTGAGCTAAAAACATATGAAATACAAGTACACTATACAATTTAGAATTAAATTGAGGCAGATTTAATTTTAAAAATGATAATGCAGTTTATATATCACAGACAAAAAAATTTCAATATCATATCTCTATGAATATTATTTCTCCTTATATAATACAATTTAATTGTACATTGTATATAAACAACTTTAAAAAAGCAGACTTTGACTTTTGCAACATAGTTTAAATAAGACTGACACTATACCTCAGAAACTGGATTCATAAACATTTTCATACATGTATTTTAAACTCCTAAGTACAGAATCATCTGATTATCAAAGTATGAGTGGTGATCAAAAAGTTCGGGAACTATCTCTATATTTACAAAACCACAATTCAGATCAGAATGAAATTTGGCACACATATAGGTAGTCATACACATATTCTATAAATAGCAGGTGTTATATAATGTTTTGCTCCGTTTTTGTGATGTCACAATGTGAAAATGACGTCAATATGTGGGTGACTTTTGACAAAAAATGGTTGACTCAGTCGTACTCGAGCAACGAACGGCTGTAAAGTTTAACGTATATCTTGGAAATTCCTTTGCAGTAGAATACGATAATTTGTACAAGGTTTATGAAGACAAAAGACTTACCAGAAGTTCAATCATTAATTGAATTGATTGTTTTAGTGAAGGCAGGGAGATGATTAAATATGATGTTTGTTCTGTTGCCCAGCGAAAGCAAGCTGTGGAAAAGATGTGTCCTTAGTTGAGCAATTTGTTATGAAAGATCGCCAAGTTACATTTAGAAAAATAGTTGAATATCTTAACAATAATATAATCATTAAATCCCTAAAATATCATTTACTTTAGACTTTAAACATATGAGATATGATAAAAAGAGGTCGTCCATACTTTATCCACATTGGATATACAACGCTTCCGAGACAGAGGACTCGGGTTTTGATGATCACCATGCTAATTCTGGGAAGGGATGTCTTTATCTACTCATCCTATTGCCAAGATTTGGCCATTTCTGACAGATGGGCTGTTCTTGTTATAAAATATAACTTGCATGAGAAGAAATATAAGACTCAGAAAAATCTTTTAGCTTCTGTGAACAGAACGCCACGGAGCATGTCACGTGACCGCCTTGATCACATGATTCGCGCGTGGGCAGAACAATGGCAGATGTGCATTATAATCCTATATAATATAATATATAAGAGAGGACTACTTTAAATAATGAACACTGAAACCTCATTTTATTTATTTTAAGGAAGTAATTTAATTAGATTGCGAACTTTTTGATCACCCCTCGTAAATAAGATATTTTAACTAAAAGTTATTGACTAGTGTTTTTTTTTTTTTCTCTTAACTTAGCAGTGCTGTTGAATGCTATCTGTAGATGCTGACCTTTGACCTCAGACCTGCGTGGCTGTCAGGGGTGGGTAAGAAGCCATATAATCCCCCTGAATTTCCTCCCGAACACTCTCTCCCAGTAACTTTGTCTGTTCCTCCTGTCTATTTGTCACAGGTTTTACACCCTTATCTTTCTTTCTACATTTGTCACAAACATAGTCCAAAAACAGCAGTGGAATCTGCAGAATATCCATATATTAAAACTATTAATTACATGAAGAGAAAGTACATAATACAGTCAAACCTCCTTTTCTCAAACTCAATGAGACTGAGAAAAAATTTTGAGATATCCAAGGATTTGATGATATACATGTAGAAAGAAAGATAGGCAGGTCTGTAAATTGTTTAGAGATGAACAGGCAGGTGGACAGCTAAACTGACAAATACTTAAACACTGCATATGTTCTATGACAAGTACAGCTAAAAATAATAATAATCATCCATTGAAAGTGTGTTGAAAAATTACAGGGAATATATAGAGCTATAATAATACATTGTAGCACATATTATTATAATGGGAATTCAAATCAGAATTTTTTTTATCTTAAAATCATAAAAAAAATTAGGGGAAAAATAGCACATGTATTAAAAACATACCATTCCAAGACAGGCAAAAGCAGTTATAGTGCAGCACCATTGAAACCCAACCACATCCAGTAAAGTACCACCAATGGAGGGTCCAAGAAAATCTCTACAAGATGGAACAATTTTATAGACATTGTGGAGATTTTAAGAGGTGACTCACTTTTTGCATTGTATTAAAAGCCATGTGACAAATAGCAGTCTTACTTTACGCAATTCAAAAATTTATTATAATCTTTAAACTAGAGGCCAAAGGGCCTTAACGGTCACCTGAGTATGACACAATCTTGTAAAGGATTGATAGAATGGCAATTTAATATTTATATGATAGAATAAAATGAACTAAAAGATGAAGATATGTTGCTCAAAAAAAAAAAAAAAAAAAAATACGACAATCATGAATCAACAAAATAGTTAACCTAGTAATCAGCAACAACTCAGAAAGTAGACCCATTTACTTGCCTGTATATGCCATGCTGTTTTTTGTCACTTTCACCAAACTTAATTAATGACACAATAGTGCTTGAGTATGAAACACAATATGCACATAATAAAAATGCTTATGTAATTCTTTTATTCTATAACCTATCAATAACATTATTTACAGGGATTTATTATCAAAGGGGAATGACAAAGGGGAATAGCTTCTCTCAAAATAGAGTAAAAATGTTCATACATGATCAGTAAAACCCTGCCCAGTACCAAAACCCCTGACCCAGTGGTCAAGAAATAAAACACCCTTGCTCATTACAGCTTGTACTCTGTTTGCCTCCTAGATGCTAAAGAGCAGTGAAGATTTTATTCAAAGAATTAATGCATTTTCACTATATGATAAATAGAGCCGCATCCTTATGCCAGTGCCCCTGACCCATGAGTCATAAATTTCGTAATTTTGAAAGAGGCATCCTGCTCATCAAAACCATGCATCTTTAATTGTTTGCAGAGGCTATCATAGCATGAAATTCATAATTTTTGTTCCTCTTTGCCCATAGATAAAGCATTGTATATACTAAAATTGTTGAAATGAGTACAGTAGTTCCAGAGAAAAAGCTGAAAATGTTCAAATGTTAACACATATCACACGAAGATGGACAAAAACATTCAGCAATAGGTCACCTGAGTGCCTCAGGTGACCTATTGCTGAATGTTTTTGTTAAAAAAAAAGTTAAAGTCAAGGTCATAAGGCCACTATTTTTTTAACTCTGTAAAAAGGATGTGATAAGCACTATAAATGCTGAATATATCAAAGCTCTACCATTTACAGTTCATATAAGTGTATACTTACAGCAAGGGATATTCTTGAATTTAAAAGTCAAAGTTCGATGTCACAACATCAGTACACCCTAGTGCTTCTAAGGTTATGTGACAAACGATATAAATTACTACCCCTCAGAGTTCAGTGGAAATAAGGTGAGTCAAACAGTGGTAAAAAAAACCCTCTAGTTATGAATACTAGAGATAAACTAATTCTAATCATTATAATAATGATATTGTCTTTGTAAGTCTTACCCGAAGGCATACATGGATCCAAATAAGCCTGCTACTAAGCTGTAGGTGTTCATATCATCTCCAAACCCTAACTCTCTGTATAAAATCAAGGCAATATTCATGTACTGTACAGGTAAGGAAATCAAAGACATTATATACTTATAATTTACAGAAATATACTACCATGACACTAAATCATGAAAAAATCATTTATAGTTAATTCTGGCATTTTTTCCCATTATAATGCATACTTCTAAGCAATGTAAGTAATATGTAAAAGCTTGATTTAAATTTGATGAATACTCACTCTGCAATGTAGAGGTAGATATCAAAAGTTGGAATTAGTGCCAGACTAGCAGATATTCCAAGTATAATTAAGGCTACAATGTTCAACCATAGCACACTGAAAATAAACCAATATTTTAAGTGTTCAAAATTCTAATTAAAATTAAGCCCTATAATGCACAAGGTTCACACAAAATGGCTGTTATATCCAATAATCATTCACAGAACTTAACCCACTTTTTCATCCAAATAGCAATTGCTAACTATTCTGTTGAGTGATTCACTTATAATCATTACATTTTTCTATATTCAAAGTCGCAAGAATTTTTTAACTACAGCTTTGAGAATCTTTACAGAAAATTGACTTACTTGTAATCTTCTGCAAACCCTAAGAGTGTAGAAGGCCCTAACAGTGACATGCCCACAGCAGAAAACAGGAAACCAGGAATCATCAGCAGTCTGTTGTCTGGCTAAAATAACAAATACTACACATATTTAGGTTAAATAACCAAAAGCTGAACTTCCCTGCATTAACTCCCCTCTACAAATACAACATGTAGGGTTTGACCATATACTTGAAGAAATAATGCTATCTCTTCAAGAAAGAATTTTATGATCAATGAAGTTTGGTTGCAAAAAGCATCTTGTCTCTTGTTACTAAATAAAAACAATTAACATGATCTATATAGGCTGGCAAATCACAAAAAAACATATTGATAAGTTAAAGTTTTATGATGGTACTTAAAGGATGACTGCACTTCAGAACATGCCAAAATTGCAACAAAATAAACTTTCAAAACTAGCATTTTGTTTTTAATTGCAAAAATGGTCAACATGTAGTCTACAACTTTACGTAATTACATTAAATAAAAGTATTTACGAAGTACGAAGCCGTTTTCAAAGGTGGGGTCATCATAATTTCTTGAATCTCAATATGATAATGAGGACGCCCACTTTTTCACTGACTTTATACATAGTCAGCCCATGTTTATCTATTGTTCACCGTTTAACAGTAGTTGTATATTTGCATTAATAATGCTGTGTCAGAAGGAGATTAACAGACAAACATGTGCTCATGGTTTAAAAGAGAAAAACTGCTTCTTCTTACATTGTAACCAAGGGTTGTGGCATGTTGAATATTACAATTTACCATGTGAGTTCTTACCTCAGGTAACTCTGTGAATACTCAATTCCGTCACGTGACTTGTAAGGTAGCATGTTTTGTGCTAGGACACTGTTCTCAAACACGTTGAATTGTCAGGCATCGATTCAAAATATTCTTTACTTACATGTACATACTGTTAATTTCATTTTGAAACCTTTGTAAATAGTGTACTTGTGCCATATATGATAAAGAGTGAGATTTGACAGAGTGGCCACATATTTTAATACATGTCATTGTTATTTATCTTGTCTAATTTTAGACCCATTCTTACAGTGTTAGCTCCACCTCTCATGCATATTTAATGTTTAATCAAGGGCAGGTAAGTGTAAATTCTCTACATTTGGAAAGCAGTAGGGACAAAAATCTAGAATTATTTTTCTGTATAACAGTCTAAAATCATTTTAACATTTAAATTTGGTGCCAAATTGGCAGAATTCCATAGTAAAATATATACAAAAGTAAAAAAAGGTTAATTAGACATAAAGCAACTGAAGCGAAGGAAAAAGACCCAAAATCCAGCGTTAAGTGCAGTTATCCTTCCCTGTGAATCAAACTTAAAAGGTTGTACATGTATTCTGAAAAGCAATTATGATTACCTTCCAAAAAATTTTACACATAAATTCCTGTGTCCTTAAGCTTGTTACATGTAAATTGAATTTGTTTCAGAAAACAGATATACTGGTACCCTTATCGTCGAATACCCACAGGTGTTCTTGTCTTTTACTAACCATGATGAGTAAAAGACAAGATCACTCGTGGGTATCCGACGATGTGGTACCCTCTGATCATAAATTATGAGGTTGCACATATCCTAAACATACAAATCTCAGACAAGAATATTACACTTTCTGTCCCTGTAACTTTGAACTTGTCCCAATGCTCCTGAGTTTGATCAAGAAACACCCTCCAGTCATAAGCAGTCTTTGTGTCAAGTATGTATGAGCTTATAATATTTCTCTGATATAAAGTTATAGCCTGGATTTAAAGGGCTATAAACATAAAGATGTATAGTAGGGCTGTCACGAGTACCCGAAATAACCGAGAACTGCGGTCCAAGTTGTTTGGTTCGGTTCCGGTTCCATTTTTTCCAGATTTTGGTTTGGGTCTGGTTTATATATTAGAGTCTGTTCAATACAAAAAATGGCGTCGAAATCAAAGGAATGATGATGATAACAGTGATAAATAAACATCACAACTGAAATCTACTTCGTTCCATGACAAAGCACTTGTCACGGAAGTATTAGATAATTATCAAAACAACAGGAATGGTCAGGTTGTGGCTAATAGTAGGCCAAGTCACCGATGTCTAGACGTTCGCATGGTTAAGACTTGTTTTCAATGTAAATTTAATGTAACAAATGAAGATTTTTCAAGTTAAATTCATGAAATTAAGGTTTAAAATATATGTAAATAACCGACCCGAAAAACCCGAAACCGAACCAAAAATTTACAGAACCGACCCGACCCGAAAAATTTTGGAACCGTGACAGCCCTAAATTGTATAGATATGGTGATTATTCTGTACCACTTACATTTTGTTTTTTGGGAAAAAGAGATTATAGTACAAAGATGACAAAGGGCCACAACACTCACCTGAGTTATAGTTCCTCTTCCAACAAATGCATGTATGAATAAAAAATCTCTATGTTACACATATCTTAAAGGCCACTATTTTCAAAGTGTACATTGAACTCATTGATAAAATATTAATTTGAACCTCTCTTGAATACTTAAATCTAAAATAAACAAAAATGCTTGCATAATTATTTGCTCAACTGTGACTTCCTTGTCTTTGAAACATTATTTTCTATATATGGTCCTATGCAACAACCCCAAAACTTTTGAATGAAATTTGGATCTACACTACATAGGGATATCTAACTGACTGAATGTGGTCCTGTCATTCTTGAGAAGATAGTTAAAATTTTCGTTTCCATTATTTTTCTTAAGAACATGATCTGAACAAATCTGATACAATACTAGACAATTCATCAAAACTGTGCTTTTCCTGGTCCAGAAGCTCTTGAAAAAAATTTATATTATGACCCCACCATACTTTTTACCATTTTTTAGTATCTCTCTCTCTCCTTGGTAATGGGACATCATTCTTAAAACATCTAATTTTAATCCCCCTTTTGCCAACGATGCTTCAAGAACTTAATAGTTGAAATTGGTCATATGGTTCTCAAGAAGATGAACATTTGAAAACACATGGAAAAAAAGATGACTTTGCAAACTTTGATCAGGTAAGCTGAGATTTTGCCTCAGGTGAGCTAAAAATGTATACAATATACAACCCTCTTTACTTACCATAAACTCTGCCTTCCTGACTTTTATAAAGAAAGATGTATATCAATGAAAGAATTATATCCATATGATCTACATAATTTTTCTTACTAAAAATTTCTTATTAACAATGCCATATTTTATATATACTCCACTAAAGATTAGAGAACCCTGTTGAGAGTTGTCACCTTATTAAGGTTTGACAAAAACTGCTTGAAATTTTAATGTTAGTCCACCAATAAAAAATATTAATTATGCCAAAACCTATAGTTAAAACAAAGACAGGGAATACTTACACATCTATCTGCTACCCATCCCCAGATTGGTGACGAGATGGCATAAAACGCTGACATGACCAGAAAAAGTACACCAATTAACTCTGGACCAAGGTCAAACTGAAATTTTAGAGATATGGCTGCAATGTGATCTTAGTTTTCACCATTTTATTATTGAAACATTTCTTTTCAAATACAATTGAACTCTGGTTTCTCTAACATTGCTATCTCAAATGCCATGGATATGTCAAAGTGAGTTGGAAATTCCAACCACTTTTTTTTAGGTACATGTACCAGTATTTCAACCTCAATATCTCAAATCCTCAGATAACTCAAAGTTTTTTCTTGATCCCCTTGAGTTTGAGATAGCAAGGATCTACTGTAAATAGCAGTAATTATACTTTTTATACTTCCTTTCAAATAAATGTACAATCTTGACAAAAATTTGAGTAATTGTAAACATGAGGCCCATGGGCTACAATGCTCACCCGAGTCCCTATGGCCCTGCTACTGTAAATTCCTAAATATATGTGAGGAATATATTATCATGTAATTTTGCAAGAAGCACCACTTGCGAAATAAATTAACTCACTTTTATTTTTATGGTACTGAAATCCATATAAAATCTCTAGATCAACTGTCCACTCACAAACGTGCCATCAAAGAGCCATTTCGCTATATCAAGTACTCATGACAAAAATAAGGATTCTACAGTATTCTTTCCCTCTATATTCCTACGGAAGACTTTGATTACATATTGTAGTCCCAACCTACCCTCTGGGGTCATGATTTGAACAAATCTGATTATACACTATGTAGTGCAGCTTTCACTTACCGTATTTGGCTGAATATAATACGCACTTTTTTCCCAAAATAATTTTCTGTGAGAAAGGGGTGCGTATTTTACACCACAATGGGATTTTGATAGGTTTTTCTTTCATGTGAAACACGGCTATCAAACGCACATACCATATATATAGTATTACCTAGAGACTTATGCAATTTCTTGCTGTTTATCGCCATATTTAAAACTTCGGAAAGTTATTGTTGGAATGTAGGCTTGTTAAAAATGTTATATTTATAAGCTTTTAATGGTTAAATTAAATTTAAAAGCAAATTAAAATCAATTTGAGCTGCATGTTCATCGTCTCCATGTACACCGCCATTAACGATGTTATTTATAGATGTTCACACATTCCTTTGCCACGTGCTTCCGTAATCATAGTACACATGTACCTAATCAGTTGGTCAAAAAAGTAATAAGTCATTTTTTAAATACAATGAAATAAAATTTATTTTAGGTTTTAAATAACTCTGTGAAAATCCATTTCAACATAAACACCCCTCTATACGCCCCAATGAACTGATGAATGGAAGCCAATGTTGTGAACATGTGCACTTCTCACTTGATAAGTACCCCTCAACACCCCTCCAGGCAATTAAATTGTTTACCAACTCCAAAGCATTGTTTTTACAGTTAGAACACTGATTATTTACTGCCCTTATTAATGGCTTTGATTATTTTCTTTGTTAAAAATCGGGGGTTGGTTTATGATCTTTCGTATGTATAAGCCTGTGTTGATTACCACACATTAAACAGTTAAACGCTTGTTAAATGTAATTTTACTTATCTTTCGGCCTCGTGTTAAAATGATTGAGAGTTAAAAAAAGGAAATATGATGTATGTTGAAACTTAATTGTTATCATTTACTCGACTCGTGCTCTGTAGAAAATAAGATATCCACGAAGATGACTTCGATGTATGAAGACATATATCCCACCTTTGTATATCATTTTTCACAGCTTTGGAGGTGTGTTGATAACTGCACTTTACACGCTTGTTAAATTTTGATTTTATTTTTATAACATCAGCTATTTATTTAATTATTTAATTTCAAGTTCAAAAGAAGAAAATCGTAGTCTATGAATATACTTTGATGTTGCAATATCGCTTGCCCTGTTAAATTTACATAATCTTCAACATGATTACCTTAAACTAAAAATAAATATGACAACTGTTAACCTTCAACAATATCTCGTGCTTTGTTGAAATAAAATTATTTCCACAAAGAATAGTTAGAATACGGCGGCGTATAATTTCAATATCACCGTATGCTAAAAAAAAATAATAATAATAAACTCTATTAATACTTTAATGCAGCATTATCTCGTGCTTTAATTGTTAAAATAAATAATTTCCTCCTGATTGCCGCGATATGGAAAGTCAAGATTAAGAAATAAAAACGCATTTGAATAAAATATTGTGTTCTGTAAATTTTCGGCACTTTATCTCCGCGCCGATTTTCATAGCAAATTACCGCGATTTTCGAAAGTTCAGAACAATTTTCTGCTGCGTATAATACAACCGAACTGCGTTTTTTCCCCCAGTTTCAGGCTCAAAAAGGGTTGTGCGTATTTTACACCAATGCGTATTATATTCGGCCAAATACGGTAACTTTCAAACCTTCTGGTTTTTGAGAAGAAGATTTTAGAGATTTTTTTCCATGAAATTCCTTTGTTAAACTTTGATTACCCATTGTGGCCCCACCCTAACCCCAGGGTCCATGATTTTGAACAAACTTGAATCTTTACAACCCAATGATGCTTCTATACAAATATGACTATTCATGGCTTTGCTGTTCTAGAGAGGAAGATTTTAAAATTTTTCTCCTATATATATTCCTATCTAAAACTTTGACCACATATTATGGTCCCTTCCTACCCCAAGGGAAAATGATGTGAACAAATTTGAATCTACATTACCAGAGGATGTTTCCACATAAATATGACTAATCATGGCTTTGCTGTTCTTTTTCAGATTTTTCCTATTTACACATGCATTGAAGGGGTCATGATCAGAACATTACCTGATGATGCTTCTATATAACTATGACAAATCATGGCTTTGATTTCTCCCATTTGCACATGTTGAAGAACAAGATTTCTCCCATTTGCACATGTATTCCCATATAAAGTTTTGATCATCCATTGTGGCTCCATCCTACCCCTGGGGGTCATGATTTAAACAAACTTGAGTGTAAACTACCTTACGATGCTTACATATATATATTAAATGTAACAGATCATGGTTTGGCTGTTCTTGAGAAGAGGACTTATAAAGATTTTTCCTATATTATCCTATGTAAAACTTGATTACCCATTGTGGACCCATCCTATCCCCTGGGGTCATGATTTGAAGAAATTTGAATCTACACTACCTGAGGATGCTTCCAAGTAATCATCTTTTCTGGCTTGAGAAGATCTTTAAAAGATACCTTTAAATGTTCACTAATTCTTAATTTTCTCCATTTTAAAGATGGTGTGGTCCTTAATTTTTAAGAAAAATTGAATCATCTTGACCTAAGAATGCTTTGTGGTAAGTTTGGTCGAAAATGGCTCATTGCTTAATGAGAAGTCGTAGAAAATGTTAAAAATTTACAGACAGACAGATGCCGAACAATTTGTGATCAGAAAAACTCACTTGAGCCTTCAATGCAGGTGAGCTAAAAAGTCTTACTTCTCGTAAATGAGGTTCAAGTGTTGGGTCTAATATGGACCAAATAAAGGATGCTACAATGATTGCTAAAGATGCTACGATGATGGAGGGTGATTTCAACAAGGTAAGGCTACTGGTACTTGATTCAGATTTCTCGAAACCTACAAATTAACAATTTACATAGAAAATGATATAGATTGACAGGTTCAGGATTTTGTGTTTACGCACACATTATATTCTTCTTTTGAGGTCTGATGATTTTCAAAGCATTGAGTTATTCATCAAAGAAAAACATTCAAATTTACTGATGACATTTAAATTTATATGAAACTCAGATGACCTACCGGTAGATAGGAAATACTGTCAAAGTTCAGGTGTACATGTTTATGTGCATATATACATAAAAAATCCCATTTTATCAGTACATTTTTTAAAAAAGTTTTAATTAAAGATAGTGTAGGATTATTTACATAAGATCAAGTTTTTGCAAATTTTATCCAAATAAATTTTATCAAGACAATTTTTCTTAGGTTTAACCCAGATTACCACTATTCAAAGTAAGTGATAATGCTGTGTGGCTTACGATCATCTGGAGGTAGAATGATCCAGTTGACAGGAACACATATAATAATGAGGACTCCAATCACTAGAAATGGTGTAAAAAAGCCTCCCAGCTGAAACAAATCAAACACTCAATTTCAGAAATAACAAAAAGTGTGGCCTGATATTTATACGAGACCCTTAATTTTGAAGCTAGTGATAAATTAAAGTTTGTAACCTTCCAGTTGCAATATACTGTAGATTCCTAAATATATTCTGGGAATTTATTATTCTGTATTTTCCCAAGAAGAGCTGTTTGCAAAATAAAATTACTTGCTTTTACTCCTTATTGATGAAATACATGTCCAAACTCTAGATCAACAGTCCACGTTAGAATTTATGTTCTCGCAATTTGATGTCAACAAGCCTTTTAGCAATATTAAGCACTTGCATAAAACATGGAAACTACAGTATCATAAACATCAACATGCTTTTAAAAAATATTGAGGTTTGACTGGCTACCTAGTGGATTGAACCTGAGATACATGTACATATACCCTGAAAATATCTTTATTTCAAAAGTGGTAAAAATGTCTTGCTAATTTTAATGACAGTAATTCAATGCCCCTGTCCATGCCTTTAGTTGGGAAATGATAAAACAATTGAAAGTTTTTATGATTTGAGATTCTTCTGCAAAGAAATTGAGTAATTGTTTAACAAGCATATACCCCATAGAGAACTCCACCAATGGCTGGCCCCGACATGAATCCAACACCCACAAACACCTCTCCAATACCCTGAAATAAAATATCAAGAATGGTATCAGTTATGTCTTAAAATGGTTATTGGCAATTCTAAGTTTAGTCAAAAGTCATATTCAGAACTCGTCAGGAGACCAAGAAAAAACTTCAAGATATCCAAGGGTTCAAGATATTGAGGTTAAAATATTTAAGGAAAAAGAAGTTGAGACTTCCAACTCACTTCAGCATATTTTTTGTAAGCATAAGAAGATGTTCAAGACAAAGAACTGGCTGCTAGAAATTTTAACTGCATGTACATATATACATGCATATTTTTTCATTAAGAATGAATATTCTTTATTGGAAACATCAATTTACCTACTTCTAAAAAATGAACATCATCAATGTGATTGTAATTTTCATATAAGTAATAACTTTCTAAATTTAAATTGTGCTCATTTTTATTCCTAATGGATGCATATCACTCAAGCTCAATAAAATGGTGCAAATGATGTCGCTGGGGGTTAAGCGTAAAAAAATAATGAAATGTCAAAGAAAATACTTTTTGAATGAATGCATGAATATGTAACCTTTAAGGCAAAAATACAAAAATGAAGTGAACAAATCATATTGAGATATTTTATTTGGCATATAGTGATTTTTTGAAACGTACGTTACTGTCGCCAACATTGAATAATTACTCTTAAATGGCTATTTTTTGTACAAATAACAGTAGAAACCTAAAATAGATAGCATATGTCTTCAAAACATTTATTTGTAAAATGCTTTTAATAAATTATTGAGCATAATCACAAATATATTACCAAACTTTGATTTGATATCCCCATGTCGCCAGAAACAAAATAAAAACGGACTGTGACATTAAAATATAGTATGAGTATTCGGTATTGTATGCCTGTAAGATTGGAATACGTTTTATTTTGAAGGAAACTTCTTGAAAATTAAAAATAAATGGTACAAAGCCTTGTATATGTTACCAATACTTTGAAATTACATTCTATCTTCCTATTTTACATGCATATGGATAGGCATGAAACATTCGTTGTATTAGTTTAACAGATGAAATAGAATGATATCATAGTTAAACATGTGATACTTTTGCTTCTATCCAACAACTGTATTCCATGCTCCAACCATGATTTAACAATGTCTTATTGATAGCTTACTACCGGTATTTAAGAGAAAATGATTAAATGAAACAACCGTTACCGAAACATTTGTTACCAAATCTCTTAAAAAAGAATGATTTACGAGTTCAAACATCTTCTGCACATATACGTGGTCAAATATTTTGCGCCAGTATTCAAATTTTGACATCCGGAGTACGGTACTGCTTTTTTTATGATTTTTTTCTAAAGTCTAGACAGTGTTGGTGAGTTTGTTTTCTAGAATGCAATAACACTGAATCAAATGGAATGAATTAGTATGTAACTGTTAATATTTATATAACGACCGACAAACAACTACGCCACCAGTATCAATCTACACCTGAATGTCCTCCATTAGTCTTGAAAGGTGTTGAAACATTCATTACGGAAGGTAACGAATGTTACAAAATTTTTAACAAATCATATATCAAAATTGCAACAATATTTACAGAATTTCTTTCATGACTAATTGTTCGAATGTCAACTTTATTGATTGATTTGTATCAATTTAAGCTTAAGTTGCATAAATTTTAATATAAACTGATTCTAGAGACGCATTATTGAACACACACATTAATTCTGAAGAAAAACATTAATTGAAATTATTTTGAAAGACATTTTTAGATTGAATCATATGACATTGATTAAACAAAGGCTTGAGTTTCTATTCTGAATCTACATCAGGGTTTTTTGTTTCTCTCTTATAATTTTGATACTGTTAAACTCGCATTTTATGTTAAGTAACGTACGTTTCAGCATTTTATTTTAGTTGAACTATGGCAATGACCCAAACAGAAATACGAAGGAAGTTTCCATTGATGGTTAAATGATTTCAAGCTAAAAGTCATCAGAAAAATTGTTATTTACATTATTTTAGGTTCTGTTAAAACGTCTATACAGACAATTTTACAATTATCTCTTATCCGTTTGTACATATACAGTTCAAGGAAAATATGACACGATGATATATATGATCAGTTCAAATTATGATTTCTTTTGACATTTTCAATACCAAGGCACAAGTAGAGCAGAAATTACATCTCATGAATTGGTCCATTTTGTTGGAATTAAACTTAAAAACAGTAAATATTACTTCTCATGAAACATTCGTTACATACGAACGTTGTTGCAATTGAAAGTGTAAATAAGAACAAGATCACAATTCATGAACAACATTTTATTTAACATTTCCATAAATGGATCCTCTATTCATTTAGAACCCCCATTTGCACTGGGCAGTTTTGATTTTTCTTGAGGCATATTTGAAATATAAAATTTTAAAGATATGTCAAATTCATTTGAAGAAAAAAATATAATACGACAATTTGACTGCATCAATTCATAAAATACATTATGACAGTTGACCTTTTTTGTCTCATCACGAAAGTAAATAGACTGATTTGCTTTTGACATTGAGGATTTATTACAATCTATATATTATTTCATCCTAAAATCTTAAAGGAAAACTAAAATATGATACATAACGCTTGTTTCTCAGCAAATAATGATCAACAATACACCTTTATTTCAAATCGACGTAATTTCTTAACCAATGAACTTAACTTGAAAAATCTTTGGGAATACAAACTTGATATGTTGATCTATCCAAAAATGTTATTAGCAGATGGATAATCAAAAGTCGATTTTTGAAGAAAAAATATCTTGAATTGTATCAATTTATTGAGTTTGGGTGATATAAGAAATTAAAGTGCAAACATTTATAACAGTAATGTTCAGCTTCTTCAAATTTTCAAGTGTCTACAACTGATTAAAAGAAGATAAATAAATGTACAATAGAAAGACTTACAAAAACTGTAGCAATATGGTCTGGGAATTCTTTGGCACAAACAGTGTAGCATGCGGTATTGAGGGCAGTGCATCCAACAGAGAGAAAGATTCGGAGCAAGAAACATAGCACCACGAAAGTCAAAGGGCTGTCATCTACTGGGACATAGGCCAAGGCACTGAGAGATAAAGTCACAGAAAATATTAGAGATATACAGTGACCAGCTTAATTAAATATAAAGATTCAAAAGCCAAACCATGCATAATGTTATTTATATGTCAATATAATGTCATATCTCTTCAGTGTTATCTTTTTGAGATGTTAGAGCTACTTAAAAGTTATACTCATATGAAGAGATACATATGATACATCCAAGTAAAACCGATTAATACGAGTATATGCATTTTAATTTGATTGTATCTGTGCATTATTTCAATACTTTGAATTGTGCTAGTGAGACCATTATATACTAGTATATTAAATTACCCAAACAAGAGTGTACATCCTCCACTTAAAAATAACCCAGATAAGAACATGAATCTAATGCCCACATATGGAAGCTGAAATAAAAAGATGGATCATGTATGTGTGTTTTCAAATATCAAAATCTGAAACATTTATTTCAGATACCAGTAAACTGTATAAGCTTAAAATAATTATTCCCTTGCAACAAAGTTGGAGGTGATATATAGTAACGGACTTGTGTGTTTGTTGGTGAATACGTAAGAAAGTGTGTGCATAACAAAAGTTATGCACGTAATACCTGATAATTTATATCAAACTTGATGTGCTCTTTTGCTAGGGGAGGCTCTACTTTGCAGTGTTCTTGTTTTAAATTGAATGTGGCTGTCTTATTTTCACTATAATACCTTTGTTTTGAGAGAGAGAAAGAGAGAGAACTCACCATTTTTCCAAAAAAGGGAGAGAACACAACTTGACTTAAGGCGAACACTCCAAATATCCAGCCTGATATGGTATCATTGACCCCCTTTAATGATGCCTGAAATAAAAAAAATTATAGCTTAGGACCATGGCTACCATTATGAAAAGAAGGCATTGAACTTAATATATATATGATTTCTTTTGTTTGAGGAACAAATTATGATAGTAATTTTTGCATTATATACACTGTATATATATGAAATTCAGAATTTTAGAAAAGGCACCCTGTTCATCATAACTATGCACTTAGTTTCTATACTTCTATACACCATAACCATGCTCCTAAAAACATAGGGCTAGAAAAGAAGATTTTTGAAGAATTCATGCATTTTTGATGTATCGTCATTAGAGCCCCACCCCTACTTCTGACCCTGGTGCCATGATTTTTATAATTTTGGTAGAGGACTCAATGCTTACTACCGGTACAATCATGTCAAGAGTTTGACTGATGTCCAAAGAAGAAGATTTTTAAAGATAGCACTAATTTTGATGGATTTAGCCCCATCCCTCAGGCCTCAGGGTGTGGAGACCATGAAATTCACAATTTTTATTCCCCTTTAAACATATATGCTATATGCCAAAATTGGTTGAAATTAGTATGCCAGTTCCAAGAAAAAGCTGAAAATATTCAAAAGGTTAGAACTGATGCAGAATGCACATCCACACACCAACAGACAAAAACATATAGCAATAGGTCACCTGAGTGACTATGGTGGCCTAAAAATGAAATTTAAATTTAGTTTTACTTAATCAAACTTCATGATATATAATGAAACACTCTACATAATTATACTTGTACAACATATACATGTATAAATAATGAAGCTGCTATGTGTCATTGCTAAGTCAAAATAGTGTTCTGGTGTCTATTGTACTTTCATTTGAAAGTAATGAATGGATTTAAAGTAGAAATAGCTTGAGTTTATATTTTAGATTTAACAATTTTCATAATTATATCTAAAAACTCGCACAAAATATGAAAAGATAAAAAAAATAATTTGACTTAGATAAGTAAAGGTTTTAATTCATTTTATTAACTATAATATTTATTCTTAATTTCACTTCAATTAATTTGACTCAATTGCTTTTTTCTCTCCTATTTCTTTTTTAAATTTTATTATAACCTAGCTGTACTGTAATTTTATATGTGATCAGAAAAAACTCTTATGCATGGTTTTTTTTTCACATAAGATCAAAAGCAAGATGGACCTTTTAAATTTTATAATTGATTAAAAATAGTTTTTTTCCATGTACAGAATGAAATTGCAGTTAATTTACACACCATTATGAACACAGATGTATGTTTGTACCAAATACTGAATGCTACAGGAGATGCTTGCATGGTACTATATATTCTACAAAAAACAAAACCACTTGTACGATACATAAATAATGTATATTTTAATAAATCATGATATTCTGGATCTGTTCTTCAGAAAACTGACATTTTATTTATTTATTAACACATAAAGGGAACACCTGGACATCAAAGTCTGAGTAGCTTTAAATTGTCAGTAATTATTTTTGGATGGATATTCAAGAATTTAACGACCAATAATTTGTAAGAATTACTTAAGTAGTATACAGTCAAAGTATATTATTGAAGAAGTCAGCAAGATTCCAGTTCCCCAAGAGCAAGGCTATTTCCCAAGGTGAAGCCAAGAGAAATACGCTCGCTTGAGGGGAACTGGAATCTTGCTGACTCCTTCAATGATTATACTTTCACTGTTTTATTATACCAACACAAAAGTTAGACCAGTTTTAAACTTGTATGTGTAACTGCAATTCTATTTTATACACACTTGCAATTACATGTATAAGGTGTGCAATGGAAATATCAGTACCAAGAATGTAGATAAAATAAATAAATTTATTTAATAGAAGAGAATTGCACTAATGGTCTATAGAATAAATGTATCTGCAAGCAATTTTCTGTTTATTATATACACAATTTTTACTGTGATAAAATAATGTGATCTGCCTCCCACAGTATATAAAATTTGTCAAATTTACCATGCTGACATCACAATCACAAGTTATTCATTTCCTATATAAATTAGACCCTGTCTCCTTATATGTAACTTAAACTGAGCTGTGTTGTGAATATTAATAAGAGCTATATGCGGTATATGCATATTTTTGCCCCCCATAAAAGTTAAATTTTGAAAAATTCTTGAAATGTATTCAATTATATATATTGTAAGAAATATCTGAATTAACAAAAAATATTATAGTTTTGAGGTAGGTTATTATCAATTTTCGTTCCTATGAAGTCATAAACTAGTTGGATTTTGCGTTATTTTTCAGAAAGAGGACAAAATGGACAATATTTGTTCAATTTTTAATACATGATTTATAGAGCTCAAACCTGCTCCATAACAATATTCACATATTTCATTAATATTATCATTCTACACATTATATCAAAACACTGAGTTGGAGCAGACTTGTGCTCGGTGACTTTTACTCAAAATATTGATGTGATATATACCTTTTTCTCTATAAATCATACATTGAAATTTTGAATTTACATCTTTCTTTTTTACATATCTAAGGTATGGCGTAATGGTTTATATGAAAATATTTAATGCTTTGAAGTCTGCCGATGTCACCTTGGTTTAAAACAAAACAAAATGATAGATTTCTCAGTCAAAGTTTAATTGGGGGGAAGGGGGAGGGCAATTATTCGTCATCAGTGAATATAATCCTTTCTTTGGAACATATCAGAACTTTTCATATGATTAAAAGAAATTGCTAGGTGTTCCAAATAGGTATGGATCAGATCATCAAACTGCTGCACCATATTGCAGGGAATTCTTTTTATTATGATTTTCAGGGAATCAGCAAAATGTATCAATTTACTCTTATATATAATGAAAATTCAGTTTAAGGTATTAATAATAGATAAATTTGCATTCTCAAAATGTGATTTACTTTTAGAACAAAATCTACAGTTTCAAATTTGTTAACAAGCTGATTAGATGGAATGACAGAACCAAAGCTTAATGACATGTAATGGTAAAGAGTGGAGGGGTTATCATGGGGAACAGGGCTAATTACAATAGCATGGTTACTGCAGATTCCTAAATATACACAAGGAATTAAACATTGTGTAATTTCATGAGAAGCAACACTCGCAAAATAAAATTATTCGCTTTTATTTTTATGGTGCTGAAATCAATGTAAAATCTCTTGATCAACTGTCCACTCATGAATTATTGTTCTCGCGATTTGATGTTAACAAGCCATTTCGTGATAATAAGTACTTGCAAAAAATAAGGAATCTACAGTATATATTTTATACACAGGCCATAAACAACCAAACAACCAGAAAGGGGGCAAGGCACCTGGGGAGCACTACTCCTCGGTCCTTGCTGACATTTGTGCCATACCCAGTAAGTATTGCTATTACTTACTATACTTATCACAGCTGAGGATAAAGTTTAACTTAATAGAATCAGCTAAAAATGGCTAAATTCTGAAAATCAGCAATCCTGCATTTGTCACAAAGAATCTACAATGATTACATATCAATGAAAGTGTCTTTCAGTTTTGTAAAGGTCATAAAGGATATGAACTTCAATTTCTCACACAGGATATTTTTCGTTAAGTATTAATGCCTATTAAAAAGGACAATCTTTGAATTAAAAAGTATACATGAAAGCTGATCAAGGGAGAAAAAATATCCCAGGCAAAACTTCTTTAGTTACATATTGTTCAAGTGTTTCAGTGTAACCTCATTAATTCCAATCCCCAGGTAAATGTAACAACTACTCCTCTGCCTGTTTCAATGTACCCTAAGCACATATTGGGGTGAACACAAAATTGATTAAAAATTTGAAGGCAAAATGCAAATAGTGTACATGTACATGTGTATGCATTGTAAATTCCACACATGCATATTGTGTATATTCCTAGGCACACAGCATTATACATTGTACAATGCAAACAAAAGCAAAATGACAGAGAGTCAAATGGAAAATTGCTGCTATAGATCGACATATATAGTGTGTATGTGTGATTAGAGTTTTTTTTTTTTAAGAATTAAAGAATTATAGCATAAGTTCTGTTCATATGAATGTTATGTTTGGACTCACCTCCTGTGGGAAAAATGGTGCAAGCAATGATAAGCAGAGATAAGAAAGAAAATCTGCCATGCAAATGCTACAAAGAATGGCTTTTTGCTTCCTCTGTAGGGCAAAGAAAGAGAATCCATTGGTTTCTGAGGTAGGTGTTGAGCTTGCATCATCATCAGGCACCCTCTGTTCATATTCATTGTTTACATCAGTAGTGGATGATAATTGTTTAGAGTCTGGTATGGAGGAATAATTAGTGTATGGCGATTTTCTTTCTTCTGCTGAGTTTCTCTGTTCTTTCTTCTTAGGAAGAAGGGACGATGACTCATCAGTCTCCTCCTCATCACTGTGATCAGACATAAGCCTTAAGAAATCTTGTCAGTATCCCCTGAAGTAAAAATGATATTAAATGAATTGTTTCTTCTTAATCACAATTCTAAATTTGCTTCAAGATTCGACTACTTCTGTAGATTTGTTACCTTTATGATATTTTCACGTCAACTTAATGTAATTTCATTCCATAAGAATTATGAAAACATAAAAGCATGCAGAATTAAAAATTTTGCATGTACTTTAACATGTTTAAGCTATAAAAGGTTTGGACTAGTCCTTAAGCTTACATCCAAGATTAACTACACTCATCACACTAGGGACTAGCAAATACCACAGGCATCAAGACCCCTGAACATGCTGTCAATGAAATGTAGATAGTAAAAACAATCTAAAGTATGATAAAGTTATGTGCATAATTATCCCCATAACATGTTGCTGTCGTTTTCCCGACTGTACAGCAGTTAATTCTGCAATAAATCAGGATTTTGTACCTCGACCATCATACATGTGATGTATGCCTCTATGATATTTGCATAAGTTATGAGTCGTTCTGATTGGGACAAAAAGTGCAGAAATTTGTGGTTGCATAATAATATATGGAACATCACGCTCAGATGACCTGAAAAATCCATGCATGATTACACAGAAGGTTAATAAATGGAATAAACAAAATGAAAATCACATGAAGTTTACCAAGTTTACCTTCACTTAAAAATGTTTATCTGAATCCATTTATTTGAATTTCATTTGCACACATAACACGGTGAAAAGACAACATTCGCGATTTTCCCTTCTGTACAAAGTGAAAGCTGTCAACCATTGTCCTATCATGTGACCTAGCTTGGCCTTGATATCATGTGATTGTGCATACAAAAAAACGCGCGAAATTTCAAACCATGGAATTTGTTTTAGTTTTAATGTAAAGCAGAAAAGTTTCTTTCACCTTCAACAATCAATTACATAAAGTGCAATTAATTCAATGACTTAGTTAGAATTTTTAAAGTTCGTTTGTAAACATTTCAGTCATGCATTCAAATTTCCCCATTCACAATTCCTCAGCAGCGAAATAAAATTAAAGTCAGCTACGGACTTTCCCTCAGCTTTTACCATTCTTTACTAGGGATAGTGAAGAAGTGGGGGGAATGGAGGGATAGCTCTGCAAAATTCATTTCAAAATGCTAAATACTTTTGCATGTAAACTGAATGCTAGTTAACACATATATATTGGGGGCTGGGGGGGGGGGGGGTTCAAATATTCCTGACATGTTTGCTAAATAGCATTTACAGTGGGATGTGGGATGCACTGAAAAAGAATATTTTTAAAAAATTGGAAGAGAAATGGGGAAATATAAAAAACATTGCTTCATATATTATCTTTTAATTTTAAGGTAGGATCAATCTTTTTTGACAGAAATAAAACTCTCTGCAAATTTGAGATTTGACCCCCCCCCCCCCCCCCCCATCTCTCCAATCTAGCTACCGCTGTCAAGAACATGTATATGTAAAACCAGTCTGCATAACAATCTGTGCATATAAATTCTAGAGGTGGGTATTGCCAAAAATTTTGTATTGTGATATACATTGTATCATGATTTTCCCCCCAAATATCATGATAATATCATGATATTTTTTCGTGGAATTTTTATTACAAATTCAAATGAATTTCTATAATTTTTTTTTTTTTTTACAAATATGCTATTAAAACATAACTTCACTTTTTTTTCATTTTTATTTTTATAATATAAAGACAAAGTGTGTTTGGATGCCGTAGTTTAACTTTTTTCAACATTTTTTTAGATTTCCTGTAATTTTTATTTAATAATTTGAAGAAATGAATGAATAATTTCTGGAATTTATATTTATGTACCAAATACCAGTATTTTAGTCTCCATATTACAATATAAGAAATCATGATATACCAGTATAACGATAAAATTGTGCATCCCTAATAAATTCACCAATGTTTATCTCTTAATGTCTACATTTTCCCGACTTCTGGACAGATTGTATGGCAGAATAATTCTTCTTTTGTTTCATGCATGTGTAATTACATTTATAATAAGTCCTTCAGCTTTTGGTAAATCCTCTTTCTAATCAAATGAATAAATCATATCTTATCTGAAATTTTTTGTCAAAATATGTTATCTCATGGTATTTCATGTAGATGTACATAACTTGATCACATGAAAATCATCATGTTCTAGAATATAAGTCATAGCACACTAATTATAGTAATACATGTACATGTACATTTTAAATCAAAGGGGCTGCATGACCTTGTTAGAATTCTTAGAATTCTCATTTGCTGCACCGCATCAAACCTAAGACAGACTTTTCCTTCCCCTAGCACCAAGCACTAGAAGTGAAAGTCATGGGTATTTTGGATGAGATCTTAAAAACTCGATCAGGTTCCCTGGTTAAAAAAAAAAAAAAAACCCTCACTGCTCAAATGCTTGAGTGCAGAGTAATTAGATCTAAATTTGAAGCTGGCCACCCTCACTAGCTGGTATATTGTGATGTCTCTATATGAGTGAAAATTTCTTGAATGGGACATAAAACAGCTTACAGTCAATCAATCAATCTATATTGTGCACAATATAAGATCATGATCTATCATACTTGGAAGTTTCAAGATATCCTCTATCACAGTTTACAAAATGCCAATACCCTCCCTCCCCCTTCCTTTAAAAAAAAAGGGAATTGCATGTCCATAAATCCTGAACAGAAGTGCAAAGGGAAAATTTATGACAACTTTTATGCATCTATCTTTCTTGAAAATTTCATCAAAATCTGTGAAAACATTTATGAAAACTTTTTGTTACAATGTTGGTAAGAAAAATTTAAAGGATTACACAGAAAACAGTAACAGAAAACCAAATAAATAGCATTAGGTCTCTAGCCAGACAAATACCTTTGTTTCTTAATATTGCTGCTGATAGTTTCCATTCATTTTGATCATAATATTAAGAAAGCTCTAAATACTGCTCACTGAAGAGTTCGAATTCCATGGTTATTTTATGCAGTTAGAGTGATCTGCCCTTGTTATAAAATTTTTAAGTAATTGACTCAATTTGAAATAGATAAATAAACTCGGAAAACAAGTGAAAATTGTTTGTGTCTATGTCTATGATAAAACTGCACTGATTCTGTACTCATATCACCTTAGACCAGCCTCATTATAACTGATGCTTTACATTATCACCTGTATAAAGTCAAAGAGTATTTGAAAATAAAACAAGAGGCCCATGGGCCACAATGCTCATCTGAGTCAATATTGCCCTGCTGTTCATCAGCAGATTTTTTTTATTATATATATATATATATGCCTATGAAAAACTTTGAACCCTATTGTGACCCCACCCTACCCACAAGTATCATGATTTTTATAGATGTAGCCCCATCCTACCCCTCTGGGTCAAGATTTGAACAAACTTGAACCTATACTACCTCAAGATACTTCCATATCAATGTAACTAAAATGGCTTTACTGTTCATGAGAAAAAAGATTTTAAAGAATTTTTCCCTATACATCCATTTGTTAAAATCTGATAGTGCATGGTGGCCCCATCCTACCCTAGGGGGTCATGATCTAAACAAACTTGAATCTACACTACCTGAGGATCTTTCAATATCAAATGACTAATAATGGCTTTGCTGTTCCTGAGACAATGATTTTTAAAGATTTTTTACTGTATATTCCTATGTAAAACTTTGATCCCCCATTGTGGCCCCACCCTACCCCTATAGGTCATGATTTGAACACTTTGAATCTAAACTATGCAAAAAAAAAAGTTTTATATAAGTTTCAACTTTTTTGGCCCAGTGGTTCTTGAGGAGAAGATTTTTAAAAGTTACAACCAAATTTTCACTATTTCTGAATTATATTCCTTTGAGAGAGTGCATGGCCCTTCAATTATCATACATGAATCCCCTTCACCTAAGGTTGCTTTGTGGCAAGTTGAAATTGGCCCAGTGGTTCTGGAGAAGAAGTCGAAAATGTGAAATGGACGGACAGACAGACTACAGACAAAATGTGATCAGAAAAGCTCAATTGAGCCTTCAGCTCAGGTGAGCTAAAAATATAAAAAAAAAATACCTCACAAATCTTTTGAGAAATATTGTGATTTTCAAGTGCACATTTGATTTTATGCAAGTTTTGACATATGTTACACATATATATTGAAAATGAAGCATGAATTTATTTGCTAATATATTTTTTTTATTTCTATATCAAATATAAAACAAAACATTTTTAAAAACAAAGTTTGTTTAACTAGCAAACATTGATTAACATTTCTTTTAATCTTATAAAAATAAAAAAGAAGTGTTACACATTTCTCCCTATCTCTTATGCTGATTATGCATTACAGAACTATAAGCAGTTGAAATCTTAAGGAAAGATAGATACAAACAAAAAAATGTATGCCTGGAATGGTATATATTTTTGGGTTTATTTTTTTTCTAAATGATGCAAATAATAAATTTCTAAAATATTAAGAAATTGTAAACCATCTATGATGTTCAAAAGTCTACCTTTCTGCAACTATCCTTATTCATCTATACAAACTTTTTTCACTTCAAATCCCAGTATTGTGAAACTTTGAATGAAAAATTAAAAACTATTTGGTTAAATAAAATTGTTCATTTTACATATAAACATGACTCAAGTTGTTATTTTCAAATTTTTTGATAAAAGTTTGTTTGCATCATCTGTCCTTAAATTAATTTTGTAAAATACTGAATCCATATGTATATGTAAAATAATTAAAGACAAATTTCATATTAAAACATTTATCACAGAATCTACATTAAAACATTAGTTTTATAAATCCATATTGAGGCACAATTGCTATGAGATCGCATTAGTATAACAAAATTTATAAATGGCACATAACGAAGCATAAATACATGTAAACACTCTCAGGGGACATCACTCTCACTTAGCTTAGAGCTTAAGTACCACCCCAAGAGAAAATGTTGATCTCCTCTCCATCACTCACAACTTTGTTGAAAAATGTGGAAATGTCAGTACGTCTTTGCTACAAGAGGACAATATATGCTGTACAATGGAAAAGCATGATCAAGGGAAGCACCTTGATTAGTGATATGTTATCAGTTGTATATGGACAAAAAAATTCATAAATTGTTGATAAATTATACCTTCATTATCAGTCGGTGTTTACTTTAAGGCTGTTTTTTTCACTTTGCTATATTAATTGTTGTTGAATATACTGATATTGCTACAATACCCATCTCTTTCAGACACTATCAATATGTGTATATAGTGTCAGAGCTGATTATTATGTATATTTTATATGATCAATACTTTTATCCTTACTGCAGAATCCCCTTATAATTTGGAAAACTATAAATAAAACATTTAAATTATATTATAAACATCTGAGTTTGTGGAGCAAACATTGTTTCATATATTAGGTCCCCTCCCCCATTACATTAATAAATACCTGGTACAAAATATCTTCACAGATACAGTAAAACTTGTCTTTCATATGTTATGTCAATTGTTTAAAATGATGTAATCTAATCCAGAATGTTGCCTAATCCAGCAGATTTCAATAGAACTAGTAGCTGTCCAAATTAGACAAGTTCTACTGTTTTTATATTATATACTTGTGTACATACATATATGTATACTTAATACTGATCTCCCTAGTGTAGCTGATTTACGAGGGGTTTTTAAAAAGTTCGTGGACTGAGGCCATAAAATTAAAACCACTTAACATCAATGACTTTTACAAAGTTTTTCTGTCCACAAAATAAACTAATGATATTCAGTCTATCTTTGAATAAACTGTCTGTATTGTTATAAGCAATGGTATGACCATGCAATGCAACCTCAAATATGATGTTATATACTGTGAGTTTCATTTTGGAAAAACTTGCAAAGACTTTGGAAATTTTTGAATAGGCTGGAGAGAGAAAAAAATAAGTTCAGATTGTTTTTACATGGGACAAAAGATTCAGAGAGAGAGAGACATACCATTCAGTCCACAAACTGTTTGAAACCCCCCCATACTGATTACTAAACATCAATCAATGGTAATTATTTGTTTTACATCAGAGAGTAAAACTGTATTACCTACCATTGGTTTATGGAAAATATGAGGTTTGGTTATCAAATAATTAGAGGATTTAATAAATATGTAATCTTGGCACTAAGAAAGTCTGTAAATACACAAAACTCTGCTAGAAATCTGAAGAAGCTAGCACATTGGTAGTAAAATCAACTGTAATAATTTGGCAAAGCGGTTAAACAGCTTTACAAGTTAATGCACAAAGTATTCAAAGCATTATCAATCAATATTGCAACAGGATTAAAAAAAAAACCCACACCCACTAAAGATTTCAAAATGCAAAAAATGTAACAATCAAAACAAATAAAAACCACTGGCCAAATCAACACATCAGATCTAAAATGCGTTCCTTTTTTTCTTTACAGAATCCTCAGTTCTCTAGTATCCCCGTGTATGAGTTCCTTGCCACTGAAGCCTCCATGAAACAGGATTTTATCCTGGGAAATACAGCAAGCATGGCCAGCTCTCATCACTTTACTGGTCCCCACTTTGTAAAAATTGATGTTAGGTTTATTGGACATGAGCAATATGTCTCCCACAGGCTCAGAATTTTGACCTCTAAAAGTTTCCCCACCATGGAGTAGAATGGTTGATGGACCTTCAACTGCAATGTGATACTTGCGGCCTCCAGGCATTTTTGACAGAGGTGGTAAGGATTTGGCGATGGTAACAATTTTCTCCATTAGATTATTTTTGGGATGTCCACTCCTGTAACCTTTATGCACTTCTAGCAACTGATCACTTCTTCCCCCAATGATGTATAAAGTAGGGCCAATGAAACTTGTTGTGTGTCCAGACCTTGATTCGGTGAATCTGCTGTATTCTTCATAATGGAACTCATTGGACTCTGGACTTCCCTTTAACATGTACACATTACCTGTGTATTCTTTCCCTGGCTGCATACGGAGAGTTCCCTCCCTTCCTATCACTATGATACTCCCATCACTCAGTAGTGATGCAGTATGAGAACTCAGTCCTGCATCATCTGGAAACCCTGTCACTTTTGGGTAGATCCACTCCTCTTTTTCTGTGTCAAAAATCACAACAGACGATGTTCTAGTTTTTCCATTCCAACCTCCAATCAAAACCATATACTTCTCAGCCAATGGGATACAAGCATGATGACTGAGTGCTGGACTGTTTTCCACTCTGACTTCATTCCATATCATAGTATCCAGATTCAGTTTGAAGATTTTACTACAGGGCTGAGTGCTGTATCTCTCCTCAATCCCTCCATGAACATACAAATAATTTCCTATATATGAAAAAAAAAAATAAATAAAGAAATAAATAAAGATATATGTTACACTGTAAAAAAATATTTATATAGTCTAAGACAAGAAAACAAAGCAAGATCCATACAACTCAGTTAAAGATCAATTAGATAACACAAAAAAGATAATTTTTATCCCGGGGGGGGGGGGGGGGGGGGGGGACAATTCACAATTTTTGCACCCTTCACCCATTGATGCTATAAGCCTAAATTGGTTGAAATTGGTTCAGAAGTTCAGGAGAAGAAGCTGAAAATGGTAAAAAGTTTATGACCAACACATAACAATGGACAAAAACAGATAGCAATAGCTCACCTGAGTATGTATATGTATAGTTTTTACTAACTTTTCATCATCTATGGAAAAGTTGTGGTGATCAAATTATATTTTTTTTTTCATTTATGTAATTAAGCAGTCTTCACCTATGTAGTAAGTATGAAGTCTGCATGTATGATAAAAAATAAACAAGTTATAGCATTATTTGAAGTTGTTGGACCAGGGACCTATATGCTAGTATATAGGTCCCTGGTAAGACTACCCCCCCCCCCCCAAGATCATCTTCCATGTTGTAAATATAAAGTCTGTGGGTTGAAGGGTACTCAAGTTATTGTCAATATTGTGTCAATTAAATGAGTTGATGGAAGGACAGAAGGGATATGACAGACAGTGTGATTGTCAAACAGTCTCTGTATTACTATAAGGCATCCACATCTTCATGCAAGGCCTTTATAATAATTACAATGTAATGTGTAAAAAATTAATCTTACCCAACACACAGGCAACATGGAATGCAAGTTTTGGACCTATAGGGCAAAAAATTTCCCAGTCTACAAGTAAATTGTCCTGCAATGTTCTCCCTTTTGACATTATGTCAACATCTGTAACAGAAAATTAAAATATTTTAAGAATATACATGTAGTTGAGGAAAAACATGGGTCATAACATTTTGGAGTTCAACAAACTGTAAACCTTAAAAATAAAGACATTTTCAGACACAATCAGATGGGTCTATCATGTAGCATTTTTTACTAAACATTTAAGCTGTATTTTGCAATCAGGCCTCTAGCTTTTCACATATTGAAAGGGAACAAAGCAAATAATTGCAAAACAATTACATGGTGCAAATGTCACTTTTACCAAAATCACACATCAGTTCATATTGATGAAAACAAGAGGCCCATGGGCCACAACGCTCACCTGAGTAAATTTTTCCCTGCTGTTCTTCACCAGATATTCCCCCTTGTACAGTCCCTGAAACGTTCTACTTTCCCATTTTTCCGTTCGCTCACCGTTCGTTCACCGTTCGTTCAGCGTGCGTTCACCATTCGTTCACTGTGCGTTCACCGTTCGCCCTCCGTTCACAGTTTTGCGTTCACCGTTCACAAAGCGTTCAGAGTTCGCTCTTCGTTCCGTTCACTTTGCGTTCACCTTGCGTTCAGCGTTCACCTATCGTTCAGTTTTCATTGTCATTCAGAACTCTGAAGTGAAAGGACTTATCTTTTTGTAGAGATGGAGTTACAGTTTTTTTTTAAGGAGATGGGTGAACATGACGAGCGATAAGCCTATAGTGTGACAAACATGAAGATGAAAAATTAAATTTCAATTATATCAAAATTTTCCTTGATATTTCGTCTAACATTAAATATACTTTATATAAAATCTCTATAATTTGCAAAAATCCCTCAAAGATTGAAATCATTTGCCTGAGAAATATCAGACACACACTAAAGCGGGCAAAAAGAGTCATTTTCTCATACTATAATGCTATTTTTCGATATGAGTGGGTCTTCCCTCCACCTTTTTGAAAGTTAATCCTCAAAGTTTGCATAAAAATATACATTTTTTGGTTACCAAAAATATGGAGCAATGACCCACTATACCTTAAAAATATACTTTTATGACATAACATTCGCATCTTTTCGAGAAATACTTGAAGTCCATTAAGGGTCATATCACAAACATGATTTAAATGCCACTCTTCATCAGGACTTGTGTAGTCTAGTGGTTAGCGTGCTAGTCTCGAAAGAAAATAATACTCAGGATTTTTATTGCCAGGGTTCGAACCCCATGAATACCATAATAAAAGAATAAATTTTGCCGAGAAAATTTTCCTCAGAAAAGTTTTGTTCATCATAATTTCATAAATTTCAATAATGAGAACTTTACTCTAAATACTAAATTCACAAACTGAACATGATTTTTATATATCTGAAGCTATAGGCTTTCTGCACGCTATGTTCGCCCATCTCCTTTAATAACTAACATATCGTGTTTGAAGAATCATTATTTCATGGGGGAAATATCTACGATCTATATTTTTATTATTCTAACTTAGCTGTTAGGTTATTTATTAAATTATTCTGGACAATAAATGTTGTTATAAGCACATTCTGTTCCTATGTAGAACGATGCAGAAATATTAAATTTAACTAAGGGCAATGTGCAAATACTTCAAGCACTGCAACTTTTTGTTGTTTTGTTAAAGACGACAAATCGTTAATGGTGATATAATTATCCAAGTCAAATAATTACGCATCAAAATTGCGAAAATATTTATTTCTAACACTTTTTTTTCAATTACTACAGAAAATATGATAGAACTAGTTTTGAGATTTATACATAGTGCTGCGGATATCCTGTTAATTTATTATCTTTGGAGCGAATTAAATTGATAGTGTTGTTAAAGGAAATATTTATTTAAAATGTACTGCACTACAGAATTTTCTCTACTATAATATGTAAAGTCTATAGTTATAGAGAAAAAAATTCTCTCTTCACCGTAACTTTATATGTTTGCCATTCGATATGATTAATACCCCCCTTTGCCCCCTAAATCGGTTACTTAGTCAGTACTGCATTTCCAGAATATTTTAATTAACATTTCTTTAAAAAAGTTAAGGTCTTTTTTAGAACAAAAATTTCAGTCTCAAAACAAACATGCATCTAAAAAAGTCACAAAACAATAGTAGTTCAAAATGTACACGTGTCGGCGGTGGTATTTGAAATTGGCAGAGATTATGTTTCAAATTCAAGTGTTAATGCCCAATGTATTTTATTCATTTATTATTCAAATGTTGGAATAAAATCTAGAAATGATAAAAATAAATGTTATAACTTGTTGGAAATACCCGCACTTTGTCTTCTATGTGACGAAACTTTCACGAATGATTTTGATTGACAGGACAAGCACGTGGACTTCGTGTGAACTAGAAGCAGGAACATAAAAACGAGTATGACTGTAAAACAAATGGATATGACTTGTTGATTAAAAAAAGTTACTTTCACTGTCTGATATATCTAGAAAAAAAATTCAGAGTTTTTGTTTGATATAGGTACAAACATTTAGTGAAGCCTGAAAGGAGGGGGGCTAAAAAGGAATATTTCTCTCTCTCTCTCTCTCATTTGTCTGTTTAATAAACACTATGACAGCATATTACTTTAATATCAAGTTCTGAAAATTGAATTTATAACAAATAATATGAAAATGTATCTTTGTATTATCTTGTCCGAGTATAATCACGGCCATCTACATATACATGTAGAAGTTTGTTAAATAAATCATCATGAAAAAAAGAAATGACACAAAATATATTATTGTATTAAACATTTAAAATACGAGCGTATAAATGTAAAACGTCCACTGACCTTTGTAATTTTTTTTTTCATTACTTTACACGAAATCACCTTGACACGAATATTACAACCGCTTAATTTCATTCTGTAAGTCATAAGTTTTCTTACTAAAAAATATCTTTTATACTTCAGCGTTCGGCAACAATTGCAATGTTTTAATGCGATAAAAATCGTGTGATTAAAAACTTAATGTGCATGCATCGTCTTTCTTAGGACAATTTTGGAGAATTTATTTTATTGACTTATTTATTCATTCATTTATTGGTTTACCCATTATTTATTTATTTATTTATTTATTTATTTATTTGGGACCTGACATTATTGCTAGCGCTCTCGAGCGCTAGCAATTACGTTAGTCTATATTTCTGAAATACGCATGCTCGACTTCACGGTCGGGGATTCTGGGAAAAACTACTGTAGATAGACTGTACGATAACAATTTCGTTTTGTCATACAGAATTAGAAATGATCCGAATTACACTGGCCTTTCCTGTCTGATATGCGCGATATACATTTCGTTGGTTAGAGACAGTCAATATCAGTCTAGATTCTGATTCTGATTTTTTTTATTTATTTATTGTCTAACCTACACATAAAAGTACAAGAAAAAATTTGGCCATATAATGCCAAGATTCTAGACATCTAGCTTTCCTTACAGTTTTACCACCTTAGTGGATAATTCCGGCAAAAATCTTTTTCAGCGTATGTCGGAAAGACATGTCAATTTAGTGTTTATCATCTAAAAATACATATGATCTGAAGTTTCGTGTTTTGTTGTCTAACCTGCACGTAACTGAACAAAAAGTAACAGAAACTCAGGTCTTATAAAACCAAGACTGTTATTTCTAAAGTTGTAATGAATACAAGCTTTTCTAATCTACCTTCATGGATCTTTCCGCAAGCTGGGAAAACCGCGGCAACCTCGGATATGTTTTCCGAGCTTGCCGGAAAGGCCCGAAGGTGCTCATTGGTTCTACTCATCTCGAAATTGAAATTACAGTAAAATACAGAATGCTTAAAGCACAGTTAGGAGTTATGCCATTGCCGACGTGAAGCACACTCTTAGATTCACCATTCTGAATTGTGACACCCCCCACCCCCCCCAAACTCAACCCCCAGTGCACCAATCTGCCTTCCTATTAATAATTAATCGATTCAGCAAATTTAACAAATGGTTCAGATATCTTCTTCTGTATTTTATTATGCTACAGCGCTAGCTCACCAATCTTTTTAAAAGATAAGCTTGTAATACAATAAAATAGTTTCAATGCGAGGAAAAGATCAGAGGCATTCCGAATATATCGTTCATCTTGCGTTCACCGTTCATTCACCGTTCACTTTGCGTTCGCGTTTGCGCTCCGTTCGCGTTCAGCGTTCACTCACCGTTCAGCGTTCTTACATCGTTCACCAAGTTGCGTTCAGCGTTCACACATCGTTCACTCACCGTTCGCTCTGCGTTCGTTCACCGTTCAAGTGGGAAAGTAGAATGTTTCAGGGACTGTAGTACCTATTGTGGCCCCAACCTACCCCCTGGGTCATGATTTGAACAATTAAGAATCTACACTACCCCAGGATGCTTTCATATAGGTTTCAGCTTTTCTAGCCCAGTGGTTCTTGAGAAGAAGATTTTAATGACCCCACCCTATTTTTGTCTTTTCTTGATTATCTCCCCTTGTAAGGGGGCTAGGCCCTTCATTGTAACATTTAAACTCCCCTTCACCCAAAGATGCTGTGTACCAACTATAGTTAAAATTGGTCCACTGGTTCTTGAGAAGAAGTTGAAAATGTGAAAAGTTTACGGACAGGTGGACAATGGGTGATCAGAAAAGCTAACTTGAGCTTTCATCTCAGGTGAGCTAAAAAAGACTGTCAATCCTGGAATGTATAACAAAGGGGGATGAGGGATCCAAAAGCATCTGTACATGTAGTTGACTGAGGTCACTCATGCCCTAAGTTCCTAGGTCATTTTAATTTTTCCTAAGAGCTTTATTTGGTATTTAGTGACCAATGCTTAATGGGTATAATCTTGCAGAGTTTTGCTCATTGGAAAAATGCTAAAACAGATCAAACAGAAGCACCTGTATCTTGAATTGCCATCCATCTTGTACTTCAAGCATTATAATTTCTTCTATTCACTGCATGGCAACATATATTTCATACCCCAAAAAGATTTGACATGACTACTTAACCTCCAAAATGCCTTCATGCTGTTTTTAATGCCTGTCAAATGAAGGGCATGACACAGTACAAGTGTAGTTAAAAGAATAGAGAAATGTGATGGATCAGACAATCCACTCTCCAAATCTCTAAATGGGGGCTCTTGTACCAGGAACAAGCCAGTCTACAGCACAACTGTACAGTCCTAGACATTGAAAATACATTGAATAATTAAATTTACTTACTGTACTGCAAGAGACTTTTTTTTTTTTTTTGCTTTTCTCAATCAACACAGATGGACAGCAATTCAGAAAACTTCAAATATTCATTAAACGAGGCAGGAAATTGTAATTATTATTTTGGTAGTGGATGGATAGTTAGAACAATTTAACAGGTCCAGCATAATCTCCTGATTTAGCTATATAGCTTGAAATAGCTATATAGCTTTATTAAGCTATTCAAAATAGCTTGATTTAGCTCATTGTCGCAAACCACCACCAAAATGTACGATCCTCTCCCATTCTGGCTGTGGTTGAATGAGAAGAGAATATTTCGCAGCTCATTAAAATATTGATCAATGTGAGTAAAGCATAGTCGAATGATAACTTTGAACCTTTCAATGCCCAATCACAGTATACGAAACATTTCTTGTATACTGTTGATGTCAGTTGTTGATTTCAATTGCGATGGAAACAAATATTGTCATTGGCTGAACATGACGTCACAAAATAGAGGCGTAAATATTCAAGATTATGACACTTTTTGTGATCGAGCAGCCACGGTTGGAGAGAGCTATATGCAGACTCCGTACCATGGCTTGAGACGATGGATTTAGCTATTTATATGCAGTTTTTCACAAAAATGTTTTTTGTAAGAAATAGACAAAAAGTCGCAAATATTTGATTATTCAAGTATGTACTATAGGCTATCAAAAAAACAACCAAAATCAAAAATAGTTATAACATTGCAGCTTTTGAATACCGGTACTTTTAAACAAAAGATGAATTTCCATTGTTTGAGTAACTGTACACTACCTTGTTTGCGTTGAGGCGTGGATAAGTATGATTGCTTCTCATTGTACTGAATTATTACCAATCAATTACCTTGTTGACCATAATTGGCCTTCTTTATAATTTCATTGAAGAAGTAACTGTGTGGTCACAAACCAATTGCTCCAAAACTTTTAGAACTTTGAGTACAAAGTCTCTCAAGGAGATGCAATTTGATGAGTGATTTTTACATGCATTATTTTCAAAAGAGTTCAAGGTTGAATATTATCACTGCACCAAGGTGAAACTTTTTGTACATGCTGAAAAAATAGTGCATTTTAGAAAAAAAATTTATAAAATAGCTAAGTCAAGCTATTCTGAATAGCTTAATAAAGCTATATAGCTAAATCAAGCTATATATACACTAGACAAAATTGCTAACGCACCACCTAAATAAATTAACATTTTTCTTTTCAAATTTTGTTTATGATGTTTTTGATATATAATTATGTTACTTCATTAAAAAATGGGACATTTAAATGTTTTAACTGATAAATAACAGCAATGTTTACTGAAGCGTAACCACTTCATTGAAAAAATTAAAATCATATCCATACTTTTTTGGTGGAATAAATTTCTAATTTTTTCTTTGTGGTTGTGTTCTTTATGTTTGTACTAATTAAAAACTCAGAAAAAAGTTACACCGTATGCAGCGTTTGACTCTAGAAGAGAAATTTGTGAAAAATTAAAACAATTCAAAGATTATGCATTTCTCTGGTGAAAAATTGTTGAAAATGAATTAACGGTCATAAAAATGTTTACAATAGATATCGACGGCATTAAGTAAGCACCACACAATAACTTCAAGATTGTTCCACAAAATTGGGGCAACTGGGTGGATTTGGTAGGGACACTAAGGCACTGGGTGACTCTTAAGCAATATGGTAGTCAATCAGGGTATAGCATTTGATTTTTAAGTAGGAGACTGCTCCCGTCGCAACCTCACGGACCACCTTCGGCAATCACCAACTTCATATCTTGGCAAAAGCGGTGCGCAGTACACGTCGGGACATTGGATTTCGGACAAGAAGGTCCTTTAAGGGTCTTGACATGACACCAAGACATTTGTCAATCCAACTGTTTTGGAAAAGATGGCATATTTTATATACTAGTACCAATCAGAAAAATGACCAATTCACAAATAAGAATAATAAGTGGTGCAATTTTGTCTAGTGTCTAGCTAAATCAAGAGATTGTACTGGACCTGTTTAACAGCGTATCAGTTTGATATATCAATAGAACTTTCGGTAGCTCGAGAATCATGATAGCGACTTTATACAGTTCAGGATCACATTCAAATTCTCCAGGTTTGGTCTGTCGCATTTTATTTTGTTTTCACTCTGCCAAAGAATCATTTTAAACATTCAGATCCAACTGATTGATAAAATGTTGTTTTATTAAGGCATGCAGAATTCGTTGATCTCGTCATTAACCATTAACCAGTTTTTTAACCTGCACCTGTACATACTGCACCATGTCACACCCTGTGAGACTGTGACCCAGCGTATGCTACTGGTAATTATAAGTTAGGTCTCTGGATGCACGGGTCCTTAGTTCTACGCTTAGACTGACATGACACTATTTAGAAGAATAATTCTTGGCACCTTGGTTAAGAATCCCTGTGTCTGTCTATCTTATTTCAGTAAACTTTGTCAAGTTGACAGCAAGACAGGAGCGACAGGAGCCCACATGTTTTTGTTTACACCGCCATGTTGGTAAATCGAAGGGCGCGTGATTTCCCGGATGTTTTCTGCGCGCGCATGGTTTCCTCCATCCTGAGCCGAATCACATCTAGGGTGCCACCGATTGTACCGAAAATAGCCAATATTTTCCCAGATAACACTACACAGTCAAAAATGGTGTGTGAAATGCCTTTTATGTGCATTATTTGTTTCCATATACAAGATTATTTTCTTAGTCAATGTCAATTTTTTACAGAATTAAATTCGGAATTTTCGTGATATTGTGTTGGCACCTCTCTGTAAAATGATACGTTTTCTGACATAATGAAAGCATGCTTTTCTAAATACTAAATAGTTGTATACATGTATAACATTTCCTCTGGGTATATATTAAATGGTGGTATCTTTCATAATATGAATTTGAAAAGAAATCAGATTGTTTATCATTGAATTACAATTGCCATGTGGTGATGACATTTTCCCTCCTGTTTCCAGAATGGTATTTATATATGTCAACAATGATATTTGCCACAGGTACTCTAGGGTCTTAATTATTAAAGTATTTGATATCTCTTAATAAGTGAGAGAGCAAAGGTATACAGGCTCTGTATAAATCATGGTGTCATCTACTTATTTTCATTGCTTGTTCTTTGAAAATAAAGGTCACGTAGCTACCATTATTATTCTGTGTAATATCTGAACATAGATTCCTTGTTGTAAGAACCCTCAAATCTTTCAATTAATTCTTAACATATGAATTAATAGGGATGTGCGATTTTATCGGTATACCGGTATTTCGTGATTTTTAATTCCATGATGCATATCGTGATACGGAGACTAACATTACCGGTATTTAGGTACATAGTTATAAATTCCAGAAATTATTCATTTTTCGTTCAATCTGTGAAATTACAATTACAGGAAGTGTAAAAATGTTGAAAACTGTAAAAGAAAGGCAAACCAGTATCCAAACATGCCTTTTGATATGTAAATAAAAAATAAAAAAAGTGGAGTTATGTTATTCCAGAAAATTTTTTAGGAAAATTATGAATATTCATTTAAAATCGTTGTAAAACTTGCTTGTAAAAACATCATGATATTTTCATGATATTTTGGGAAAAAATCATGATATATCACGATACGAAATTTTTGGCGATACCCATCCCTATGAATTAATATATTTGACCATGCGAACTTTTGGGTGAGCACATTTGGTTGGTTATAATAATTACTGGATACCATCAACACTTTCAATGTACTTGGCATCTTCAAACTGCACAATACATTTAGAAAGTTAAATAAGCTAGGTCATACACACAGATGACATCAGATCATTCTTATGTAGTTGCATTTCCATAACAGAGTTTAGAAATGAAATTTTACCAATGGAAAGAGCATTATATGTACAGTTATGTCCATTAAAGCAAGGAAACTCTCACTAAATTGTGAACTTAAGTTTGGTTATGGTGAGTACTAAATTTATTTTGGGTTTATGGATGGTGGTGCAACTTTGGGAAGAAATTCTATTGGATCATTGTGCAGCAGCCTGAATGTTATTTTCACCAAGCTGTTGCTTTAAGAGCTTGCAATGCAAGTGCATGGTGCTATGTAAAGCCCGAACCAAATATGACATATCCAGGCATTCAGACAGTCCTCAGTTCCAGAAGCATTCTTAAAATTTTTTTAGTATTTTTCAGATTTCTGAAAATTGATAAATTGATGAAAACTTCCCATTTATACTAGTAGATAGGGGAGTAGCTATATACTGATGTACTGCAATCCATAAAAAAGTTGTTTCATATGATGTTTCAAAATCGTACATATTTATATTACGATGCATCACATTTTTGTATCGGATAGATTGTAAATAAAAAATTTTCATTCTCCTCATATATACCATGCTCCTTATAATAATGAAGAGTTTGTAAGACCTGATGTATCAGCTGTTTACAAAGATGGCATCTGTTGAGGATAAGCACAGTTCATTGCTTTTTTTTTTAAAACTTGTGTCATCATTGCTATTTATTATTTTGTTTCAGAGTTAGTTAATTTAATGTCAATACTTAGAAAAGAATTAATCTATAGCTTATATCCTTACACAATGTGATAAATATTGTGGTTTCATTAATTTTGGGATTATGGATATTGGTTTCCACTAAAAAGTACAATTTCGACTCGTTGATATGTAAATTTATGAACAGCTACCTCATTCTGTCATACTGGGTATATAAGTAAAATTTGTAGTTCATTGATCTTTTTTTTTTTTTTTGTGGTCTGGCTAAAAAGCAACACACAGAAATTTGTGCTTAAAAAAATCATGAAACCACTGTGTCCCATTTCAGAACACAGATATACAATTAGTATGAAATATACGAAAGGTAATATATAGTGTTATTTATTGTGATACAGTCTCGGTGTATCACAATGTATCCTGACATACTTTAGCCACTATATAATAAAACCAGAAGATTTCCAAAAGAGAACTTTCAATATGCAGGAGATTTTCAGTTGTCCCTTGAACATTGAGTTTTGGAGAGTCATCTACTTCTTTATTTAGAATCACATGTACCATTGTTAGGAAGTTTTAGAACTTTATAATAAGGACTATACACCTTAATGTAATAATTAACATCATTTTTCAGATTGTTGTTAAAGACAGAATGTATTGAAAATTGTGAAAAAGAATCACCTTCTTGCCATCCAAGTTGTGAACACTACACAGTTGTTTTGATTGCTGTACAATTTAGGGAATGTAAGTATATTTCTTTAATCTGTCAGTTCTGAGTAACAGGTGCCTTTATAAGCTCACATGAGCCAAAGGCTCAAGTGAGCTTTTCTGATCGAAGTTTGTCATCCATCGGAGACTGTCTGTCTGTTAACTTTTTACATTTTCATCTTCTCTGAAACTACTGAACCAATTTCAACCAAACTTGCCACAAAGCATCTTTAGGTGAAGGGAAGAAAAGATTCTTTAAATGAAAAGCAACACCCTCACAAAAGGGAGATAATCAAGAGAAGGCAAAACTAGGCTGGGTGTGTTACAAAATCTCCTCAAGAACCACAGGGCCAAGAAAGAGGAAATTTATATGACAGCTACCTGACATAGTGTAAATGCAAGTCTTTTCAAATCTTGTCCCCCGTGAGTAGGTTGGGATCACAATAAGAGATCAAAGTTATATCTTTGAATGATATATCTGAGGATGCACACTACTGGACTTGATCCAGATGCTGGATCTGACCTACATTTTCCAGATGAGTGACTAGGCTAAAGTTTTTGAAGCAGGTCTCATTTCCAAGTAACTATAAGACCAAACTTGCATGGATGATACATCTAAGGATGCACACTACTGGACTTGCTTCGGATGCTGGATCTGACCTACACTTTCCAGATGAGTGACCAGGTAAAGTTTTTGGAGCAGATCCATTATCAAGAAGTTATAAGGCCTATCTGAACCAAACTTGCATGGATGATGCATCAAAGGACAAACACTCCCAAACTTGCTTCAGATACTGGATTTGAATTACACTTTCTTGATGAGTGACTAGTGTAAAGTTTTAAGGTAAGACCTTTCCCAAGTAACTGCAAGCCCTATCAAACCAAAATTGCATAAATGTTGCATCTAGGGATGCACACTACTAGATTATCAGTTTAGTTTGGGACTAAGATTTGTTGAGGTAAGCTCTGTAATCTGATTACCCATGTTTATCAAGTTTGATACAGAGTATCCTTGGGCCAAGGACTTTCATTGTACAAATAATAGGGATGTGACCCTTAAGCTAGGGGAGAAAATTGGGGAAATATAAGAAAAGGTATGGTTGCTAAAAAATCTTCTCATTGAAGATTAACTTAAACATAAGGACGAGGATACATTTATGTTCAAGGCATTACCTTAGGGCAATTCTGTGGTGTCAGGTCACTTCAAAATTGAACTAAAATGATAATTTGTTAAAACCTATATTTTGCACACTAATGAGGACAACAATCAACAAATCTTGTCAGCTGATGCATCTTAATAATGTTATGTTGACTCAAAAGTAGGTCACAGTGACCTACTTTTTGAATTTTGAAGGTACATGTATTCATTTACAAATTGATTTTGATGCATATCTTTTTGACACTTTGAAGGCTATGATCATCAAAACTTGTCAGTTGCTGCATCGCGGGGCCATGAAGTGTGTCACTTTAAAAGAAGGTCACCATGACCTACTTTCTGCATTTTATGGCTAGTCATTTTCAGAACATTTAAGTTCATTATTTAGGATACTGAGAGATTTAGGATCATCAAATCTTGTCAATTGATGCATCTTTTTGGGCCTTGGAACATATTTATGAAAAAGTAGGTCACATTGACATACTTTTTAAATTTTGCACATATTCATTTTTAAATTGTTTAGATGCATATTTTGGACAGTGAAGCCTAGGATCATCAAATTTTGTCTGTTAATGCATCCTAAGATCTCTGAGTAGATCAAACAAAAAGTAGGTCACTATGACCTACTTTGGAATTTCATGGCTCTATTTAAAAATTTCAGATAATTAGTGGCTTAGAGTCATCAAACTTTGTCATTTGATGCATCTTGGGTCCTCAGAGTGTTACAACCAAAAAGTTAGTCACAGTGACCTTTTTTGGGAATTTCTCATTTTGTCTCAATATTAAGGATAAAAAGAGGCTTAGAATCATTATATTTTGTCAGTTTATGCCTCTTTGGTCAATGGATTGTGTCAACCAAAAAGTAGATAACAGTAACCTACTTTTGAAATTTCATAGTTGTATCTCAATTTTCTTAGGAAACTAAGAGGCTTTGAATCATCAATCTTTGTTAATTGACTCATTTGGGTCCTAGGATTGTGACAACCAAAAGGTAGGTCACCATGACCTTTTTGGGAATTTCATGGCTATATATAAATATTGGGATGGCAATTGAATACAGAATTGCTAATGGGTTAACCACAAGACATTCCCACCAGTTAATCGGTTATAAATCGCCATCCCTAATCAATATCTCAGGTACTAAGCCAGTAAGGAGCTTAGAATCATCAAACTTTGTCAGCTGATGCATCTTGGGATCTCAAAGTGTGTTAACCAAAAAGTAGACTTTATTTTATTTTTAATATTTAGGATACTATTGGCTTAGAATAGAAGTGACTGGGTTGTAAAATTTATTAGAAGAGAGATTCTTGGACCTGAGGCCACTTTTTTATTGAATATTGAATTATCTTGTATGGCTAAAACTTCACCAAACATTATTCATTTGCCCTGCAAAAGAGCAGTATTGCAGTTATTGTTAAAGTCATTGTATGTCTGTAAAATTGTGAGCATGAACATTATGTAAATTAATCCCAAGTCTTCAGTATTATAATGTGAATGTTAAGTAAACTGCATATGATTATTTTCTCCTTTTCGTACTTGCAAACAATTTTGCCCTTGTTTTTAATTCACCCATTTATAGAGAATGATGTCTTCTTTGAATTTGCCACATTTTAAATTTGCCCTCTAGGGATGAAGGAAAATTGGTCGAAAAGAAAACAGGGGCAAAAATTTCCCTTTATACAGTTTTTTCATTGTATATATTTTTTCTTGTGTTGATGAAATATTATTGTATATTTGTAGCAAATTCAAAATGGCTACCTCGGATGATGAAGATAGTGTCTCCAACATTGACTTCTCGGTGATAAGTTCTTCCATTGATCTTGGCAGACCAATGCTGGACCAGGTGGTAAATGGTATTCATTATGGCTCTCCTGAAATCAGAAATCTACTGCGCAATGAATGTGATCTAATAATAGAGTGCAAGATATGCAGAAATTTCTTTAGATCTTTCCCAAACTTTGTTGCCCACAAGCGAGTGTACTGTTTAGAAATGAATGCTGATAAACTCTACAATAATAGACATGAGGCCATGGTGAACAATTCCCAGACATCTGAAACTGTGGTTGTGGAACCATCTGCACCAGAAGATTCTTCACCAATAGAATCAAGTCAACAGGCCACAACGGTAGAAAAATTAATGAATGGAAGTTTTCAAAGCACTTCATCTGCCTTCAGACTATACACAGATGTGGCAGAGGAAATGGAGAGGCAGAAAGCTAATGCAAAGAATACTGTTGTTAAAATGACGCCAATAGCATCTAATTCAAATGCTGTGGTTGTAACTGTAACACAGGAGAAGAACAAAGAAAGCTGTGAGTGTGATATGACTGAAGATGAAGGTGTCAGTGCACCAAGCTTGCTGCGGAACATCTTAGAGAGGCCACTCCCTGTGTCTAAAGAGACCCAGATTAAAGGTAAATCTCCAGAAGAGAAAAATGAAAATTCATTATCTGTAGAAGACAAGAAAAGGGAAGGTAGCAAGCGAAATGAAACCAGAAAACCAATGGAGGATTTGCGTCCTGTCCAGAGCAATCTTGGTAGTGCAAATAGGTCATTTCTTAGTGAACTCAGCAAAAAGGGGTTGTGCCATATTAAAACTCTGGAATGCTTAGTATGCAATAAGCAAATGAGCTCCAAGAAAACATTGTGGAACCATATGAAATTTTTTCACTTGGGAGAAAAAACAGTATATCCTTGTCTTTTCTGTGACAAGACATTTGGAAGATTTTATAATATATCAAAGCACATTATGTCCTGCCATGATAAATCACACAAAGACATAGAAAAACTGAAGAGCAAAATAAAATCATTGAGCTACAAAATAGATGATAGTGGTGAGGAATTGAGTCCATCCAGTCAAAAAGATACTGAAGTGCCAGAGGCAAGCAAATCTGAAGGTCAAACAGTAGGAGGAATTAAAATCATCAACTGTGAAGGTTGTAAGAAGGCATTTTGGAAAAAAGAAACTTATGCATCTCACACAAAGCAATGTAAAGCCTTAAACCCATGTGATAAAGTTAAGGAAAGTGTGACACCTCCAACAAAAGAGCGTATAGGGAAGAACACTAACCAACAGGATGACAAGACACAATGTGAAAAGGTATCAAGAACCAGTAGAAACACTTCACCAGATAAGATGAGTGTCAGTTCAGAGAGTTCTCCTGAACAGTCATCTAACAGTGCAGAAAACCAGTCCAAGAAGGTCATTCAGACACGACACACAACTGTTTCAAATCAAGAGTCGTACATGAAAACAAGATTCCTTGACAAAAGAAGAGCTGTTTTGTATGAAAGTCCTAAAAAATCCAGTGCTTCTATTACTAGTTCTGACTCTAGTCCAAAGCTTTCTCCAAAGAAAGGATTTTCTCCTAGAAAGTTGAGCAATAGTTCAAATGGATCAGACAGTCCCCTTAATACATCAGCAAAATCATCACCCAAGAAGACTATGTCTAGTAATAATAATGATGAGATAATTCCAAAGGAAACAGATGCCGAATCTCCAATAAAAACACCAGTAGAACGCAATTTGGTCTCCGTCTTTGAAAAAGTAGGAACAAGGTCAAAATCAAGAGGAAAAGAAGAGAAAGAAAGTAAAGCATCCATATTGGAGTCAAATAATGAGATTGCTCATCCAATTAAATCTCAAGATTTATCTCCCCTAAGTGGAAATGTCATGCAGACAAGACAACGGAAATCTAGAGAAGACAAAAGTAAAGAGCAAGATGCCAAAGACAAATGTAGGGAAACAAGCAATGATTCCAATTCTAATAAAAACATTGACCAAAAGACAACGAAACAGAAAACTCCATCCACAAGTAGCAACACATCAAGGGAGTCTAGTCAAGATCGTTTTATTCACACAAGAAAGTCCAAGCAATTGATGGAAGCCAAAAAGGAACAAACATCAAAGAAAGGTGAAGAAAAAGTACCCACTAGAGCAACACAGAAGGACACTCCCAAGATGAAGAACATGGAGGAAAAGAATGAGATAATAGAAGAAGAAATTCCTCAGTCAGAAAAGGTGGTTTATACAAACTTGAAAAACGTAAGTCCAGAAGAGGAAAAAATAATGAAAATGAGACAAAAGATGCAGAGTCCTAATAAGCACATTTTTGCTATTCAAGGTAAAGTTTCTGAGGAAAACAAAGATAATGAAAAAGAGGAAGAAACTACAACACAATCTGAGGACTTAGAGGAGGTTCCTAAAGATACGGAGAAGGAAGAGGTTTCCAGAAGTAGAAGGAAACAGGTTATTTCTGTTCGTCAGTTTGATGAGGTTGATGGTGGAAAAGGAACACCTGTATCAAAGCATAATACAAGGAGATCTGTAGCCCAGAAATCTACATCCAGCACTCCTAACACAAGAAGTAGTAGCATGGATAAGAAAGATAATTCAGGCAAAAAGAATCCAAAACCAAAACAAGAGATAGCAGAAACAGCAAAGCAGAAGATAGATGAGATAACTGGAGATGATCCTAAAGAAAAAGACAAATATGATGGAGAGAAAAGGCAAAGACTCCGCAGTAAGGCAGACTGGAATTCTGTGTCTGATAAAGGTGATATCAAACAAAAAACACCAAAACAAGATGAAGTGAAGGACATAGAAACAGCAAAGGATACTAGATGCACAATACAAACAAGAGGGAAATCAACTCATGCGCATGAAGACAAACCAGAGAGTGTTAGTGGCACAAATATTGTTTACACTGCAATTCAACCTAAGGCTCAAAGTAAGATCTGGAAGAGTCCAAACGCTAATGTAGTTAAGATTCAGGAGATCTGGGTGAAGAAAAAGCCAGGACAACCTACCGAAGAAGTGAAACATAGTACAATTACAGTGAGGAAAACTTCAACAGCTCAGAGGCGATTATGTGAGAAATACAGACATCCTAAGCGTGTTTATGTGATGAAATCCAAAAAGTCAACCAAGCCTGTGTGTTTAGACATGAATAACATTGAGTCATTGCTTGACAGAGAAAAAAAGCAGTGCAAAGAATGTGGAATTCAATTGAAGTCCATGTCAAATCTGAGAAGACATATAGTCCGTCATCTTGGATGGAAAAGATATAAATGCAAATTGTGCCCATTTTCTAGTTTCAACAGATCAGAATGTAATTCCCATTTGCAAAGGATACACAAAGAAAAGATTGCAGGGAAGGATATCAACAATCTTATAAAAGATCTGAAAAAAGAGGGGTCTGAAAAAAGACTTCAGAAGAAACAGCAGACTTTGAGAACAAAGCAGAGACTTGAGTCTGAAATGGCAGCTTCAAATTCATATAAGAAGGAGACGAAGATTTCAAAATTAAAAATATCTCCACATAAAAATGTGTCTCTTAATCAGCCTGTGAAGTCCATAATCACAACCAGACGACGGTCACTGATTCAGAGTGGTCAAGCAACAAAATCTCCTGCTGAGACTCAGAAATTGCCAGAGACATCTAAAAGGATGGAAACTGTATCAGTTACCAAAGCCAAAAGTGAAGCAGAAACAACTTCAGATGCTAAGCAGAAAAATGAAGAAAACAAAATATGTCCTAAAATAGATGTGAAAGCCAGGAAGTGCATAGAATGCAGCATAACATTTGCAAATGATTATAATCTGTTTCGGCATGTTCGGAACATTCACAAGTTTGATACATCACAGCTAAAGAAATCCAAGAATGATGCTGTATCTAGTGTAAGTCCAACTTCCCTAACTAGTTCAGCAAACAACAAGAAAATTTCCAAAGATTCAAACATGCAAGATGACACTGCATCTATAAAAAGTGCTAGTTCAGAAAAATCAGCACGGAAGAGGAAACGCCAGGACAGTGGGACCTCATCAGAAAACAAGCTTAAGAAGACAGACAGTACCAAATCTGCTCCTGAAGGGAGGAAAAGATCTGCTAGTTTAGATGGGTCATACAATGAAAATGACAGCTCTAGTATAAATCATGATTTATATGATAATTTGTGCAGTGTGTCTGATAATGAAAATGATTTCAATGACAGGATAGGGTCTCCTACAAGGTCAGAAGAAGGAATGATTCGGTTAGAGCCTAGAGTGCAAACTATGTTTGCAGCTTTAGAGGAAGCCAGAGCCACAGTGAGACAAAGAGGAAAGAAGCTGGGAATAAGAAGGTTAAGTTCTCCTGTGAAAAAAGTAACTCCTTCACCTACTGACAAAAAAGTTACCCCTGTACGTAGTTCAGCAAGAATAAAACAGGAATCCAAAACACCTTCAACGAAAGATGGACCAAGAGAAGGAGCAACGACATCATCATCATTAGAACAAGACATAGAAGCTCAATCTGATTCAGTATTGGCAAAAAGCATGGAAACAGAATCTGAATTGGTATCATCAGAAGAGATGGAAGTAAACTCTGAGTCTGTGTCAACACAGGACTTAAAATCAAATACAGAAGAAACAGAACAAACAGTGTGTGGTATGATTGGAATTGAAATGACAGAAAAGTCAGAGATGAACTGTAGTTCTACAGAGGCCCTTGACCAAACAGAGAAGAGCAGTGATAGTGATAAAGTCAGTGCAGAGGAACATGAAAAAGATGTAGAGAAATTAGCCTTGAAACAACCTGAAAACAAGTCAGTGGTAGCTGAAGACGAAAAAGATAAATCTGGTGAACAATTACCCACTGAAACTTGTGAAAAAGTGCCTGATCATGCTGTTAACTATGAAAGAGATGAAATGCAAAAGATAGTGGAGCCAAATAAAACTGATGACAAAGAGATAGTGGATGATAAAGACGAGAAGACTGTTAACATGGAGAATGAAGCTGACAACTCTCAACCATCAGAGGTGGAAAAGAAAGATGTGAATCCAAATGATAAAGAGGCTGAGACATCAGACACTGAAAAAATGGAATCCTTGATTTGTGAAGACAGTGGTGTTGAAACCATTGTAGATGCCAATTTGAATGAAGGAAAATAAATTAAAATTTCAAAGAATTGAATTTTGTTCATTTTAGCAGTTTTATGATTGAATCGTTCAATGTCTATCATACAGATATGTTCACTTTTGACAGTTGATATTGAGTCATTTTTTCAAGTGGAACTGAAACTTCTCAAAAGTTCTGCATTACAGTATCATGTTTAAATTGAAAAGTACTATTTCTATGAAATGTTAAATGATGTTATCAGTTGTTAATCAATGTAACATTTAAACATATATATATACCTTTACCCGGTGTATTCTCAGTTACATATGTATGTGATGCATTAATATTTTTAAGTAGAAAAGTGAAAAGGTATTAAAACTGCACATTAAATTTGGTTGTATTTTTTACTGCATCTGAAGTTTTTTTTATACATACATGTATTTCACTGTATTGTTGAAATATGATTTGAGATACAGTACATTTAGATGCCATTGAGAGCTAGTGCAATATTTTTTATTGTGTTGCATGTGCTAATGTATTTTTTTTTAAATGTTTCAGTGTCTATTGTTTTCAGGTAATTTGCTTGTTAAATTCAATATTTTGGATAAGAATCCAAATATTGGAACATTGTCATGTACTGTTAAAGGGAAAGATGGTCAATTAGAAATGTATTGGATAAATTTGCTTTTATCTTAAATGTTGAATCCACATATTGTTAGTACATTTGTGTGTGCCTTGATCAATGTTGACCAGTTGCTGATTGAGTTGAGCTATGTAATCTTAGATTATACCATGTTAACTTTCTAGTTGAAGTTCAAAAGAAAAGATTTTTAGCATCAATTGAATAATAAACCATTCCGTCAGAGATTGCATTTTATAATGGTAGTCATCTGTGTGAAAAAAGCTTATGCTTAGAAGAATCTTGCTTCTATCAATTTCCTTTGGTTTTTTGACAAACTTAAGGAGAATTCTCTAGTCAAATTATTGCTAGATATACTTTGTATGTACATTGTTGAAAAGCCATATATATTTTTTTGGAACATGCATGTAATCCTCTTAAGAAATAAATTTTTGTAATAACTGAATTCTGTCTAAAAAGAATTGACTGAAATTGATTCGATTCCCCATTGTTATCATTGAAAGCTGAAGCTCCTCCTACCAGTATCACAACAAGAATGCCATGGGCCACAATGCTCATCTCTCCATTGGTCTGTTGTTCTTTGGAAGTTTTTAAAAGTTTTTTTTCCTCTTAATGTTGACCCTATATCGTGGGCCAACCCTAGCCTCCATGGAATATATATATATATATATATATATATATATATATATATATATATATATATATATATATATATATATATATATATATATACATACTGTATGTGTACTTATTATAACGGGCTTCATATTAGTGGCTTTGGTACGTACAACGATGCACTTTTTCATGAATACTGCTAAGAATTCATTCATAAATACATGATATAGACGTATAGTGCTAATTCATGATTATGCAAACAACTCCATACTCGTTGATTGCACTTGATTTTAAATATGTCAATTTATGTACACATACAGTAGTCCCATGTGAAAGTTTGATGACTTTGATCCCTTAATGTGGCCCAGCCTTATCCCTAGGTGCCATGATTTACACAAACTTCAGTCTTCACTATACCTGTGGATGCCTCTATATTAGATGACTCGCAATAGATAAGTTGTTAAAAAGATCTTTATGGTTTTTAGCTCACCTGAGCTGAAAGCTCAAGTGAGCTTTTCTGATCACCCGTTGTCCGTCTGTCTAGCTGTCCATCCGTCTGTAAACTTTTCACATTTTCAACTTCTTCTCAAGAACCACTGGGCCAATTTTAACCAAACTTGGTACAAAGCATCCTTGAGAGAAAGGGAGTTTAAATTGTTAAAATGAAGGGCCATGTCCCCTTCAAAGGGGAGATAATCAAGAAAATACAAAAATTGGATGGGGTCATTAAAAAATCTTCTTTTCAAGAACCACTGGGCCAGAAAAGCTGAAACTTATGTGGAAGCATCCTGGGGTAGTGTAGATTCTAATTGTTCAAATCATGACCCCTGGGGGTAGGGCAGGGCCACAATAAAAACTACGGGGGGGGGGGGGGGGGGGGAGAAATCAGGTGAAAAACAGCAAGGCCAAAGTTACTCAGGTGAGTATTGTGGCCATTGGCCTTTGTTTAGCTCATCTGAGCTTTTCTTATCACATTTTGTCTAGCATCCCTCAGTATGTCCACCCATATGTTTTTAAGATTTTTGACTTCTTGTCAAGAACCAATGGGCCCATTTCAACCAAACTTGCCACAAAGCATCCCTGGGTTAAGGGGATTCAAATTCTGTTCAAATGAAGGGCCATGTCATTCTGTCAAGGGGAGATAATTAAGAAAATTTGATGAGGTCAATAAAAATTTCTTATACACCACTCGGTAGAAAACATGAAACTTATGTGGAAGCCGCCATTAAAAGTTTGTTCTAGTCATGACCCTGATAAATAAGGTGGGGTCACAATTATAGGTGATCAAAATTTTACTTGAGAATATATAGCAAAAAATGTTTAAAAATCTCTGTTTAAATTGTCCCTGCCAGGGATAGGGTTGGGTCATAATAGGGAATCACAGTTTTAAATGAAAGTGGAATACTTTGCAGTGGTTAATATTAATTTCGATGTGTTCTTGATTAAAAATATTTCCACAATCATTAATTAATACATTATTAATGTAAGCATTCATATATCAAATATGTGCCATGCAATTGTTAACCCCTTTTTGATCCCCAAGTGTGGCCCAACTCCCTCCAGGCAATTGGAAGAAGTTTGAACTATTACTTGGGGATGCTTCCATATTGATATAACCAATCATGGCTTTGTTTTGGTTTTTTTTTAGGTCACTTGAGTCACTCAGGTGTCCTATTGCTATCCATTTGCATCGTCCTTTGTGTGTTTTAAAACATTTGAACATTTTTAAGAACTTCTATGGACCACTAAACCAATTTTGGCATATAGCAGCTATGGGTGAAGGAGAACAAAAATTGTGAATTTCATGGTCCCTGGGCTAAAACCACCAAAATTAGTGCAATCTTTAAAATCTTTTTCTTTACTCCTGGAGCCCATTTTAGAAAAGAACTTACGACCAAGTTCAAAAACTTAATTTGATTGTAAAATTTTCCAGAAATGATAATTTTGTTTGAAATTGCTAGCATAAAAATATCTTGTTAAATTCTTTTTAAAAAGATTAAACTATTTTTAAATAAATGTAAAATAGAAAGTAATAAGCATAATTAAATTTTGGTCTTGGTAGTAAGTTCTTTTGTAAAACGGGCCCCTGGACAACAAGTAGTTAAACTGTTGGAGTGATTGTAATAAGCATTGAACCCTCTACCAAAATAGCGAAATTCATGGCCCCACGGTCAGGAGTTCTGGTGCTAGGATGGGGCTATATAGATCATATAGTGAAAGTGTATTATTTCTTTGAAAACCTTTTCTGCTCCTGGGCATTAAACTAAGTACATAGTTATGATGAGCAAGGGTGCCTCTTCCAAAATTGAGATTTCATGGCCCCCGAGTCAGGGGTTCTGGTGTTAGGGACTCTATTGATTATATAGGGAAAATGCATTAATTCTTTGAAAATCTTATTCTCTGCTCCTGGGTATTATATAAACAAACTAAGTGCATGGTTATGATAAGCAAGGATGCCTCTTCCAAAATTTTGAAATTCATGGCCCCAGGGTCGGGGTTTCTGGTGAAAGGGGGTGCATAATTTATTTGAAAATATTCTTTTCTGCTCCTGGTTATAAAGCAAAGAAACTAAGTGTAGTTATGACGAGCAAGAGTGCATCTTCCAAACATATGTAAGTTTCATGACCCCTGGATCAGATGTTCTGGTTTTAAGAGGGATGGGGCTCTATTGATTATTAATACATGTATAATGAAAATGTGTCAGTTCTTTAAATCCTTGAAAATCTTCAACTAAGTGCATAGTTATGATAAGCAAGAGTACCTCTTCCAAATTGTGAATTTCATGACCCTGGGTCATGGGTTCTGGTGATAGGGTGGGGCTGTGTTGAATCTGTAGTGAAAATGCATTATTTCTTTGAAAATCTCTGCTTCTGGGCATCTCATTTTTGGTTTGGAAGCGCTTGTAGTCAAAATAAATAAACATTTTTTTCTGGCATTTTTAAATAATTTACAAAAAATGGGTTCATTATAACAACTTATATATAAAAGGGTGTTAAGAAAGTTCATTCCACATTTATTTCTATCTCGAAAAAGGGGGGGGGGGTATTGAAACAGATGATGTCTGTGCAGAAAAATCAGGGATACAGCATATTTGTGAAGCACACAGGTCAATATATTCAATCAAATACCTATGCAAAATTTATCAAGTCACTATAGGAAACCAATGACAAATCTATTCTTTTGAAAAGTGACTGATCTTTCTTTTACCTAAGCTCATCAGTTTTGTATGATGCAAGATAAGCTGTGAAGAAACAAATGTAAATAATCCTACATTTTCACGAAAAATGACCAGCTTTTCTGTCATTTAGTTAGGAGTTATAAAAATGTCTATATGTTCATACAAAAAAAAAAAATCCTTTAAATTAATTGATATTAATCGAAAGCACAATCCTGTGACTGCCAGAATGGAAAATTAATCTCTTCAGTAAAACACTACATGTACTCTGAAATTTTCAAAAGTTCAGAACAAGTGGAAAAATGTCAAGAGTTTACAGATGGACTGACACAAAGATTGACAGAATGACAGATACTGGACAAAACATGATCAGAAAAGAACACTTGAGCTTTCAGCTCAGGTAAGCTAAAAAAAAAATCAAGATGTGTTTGTGAAACACTGATGTCCTTGTATGGCAGCTTATGGCAAAGGTGAAAGTTTCTCAAATGCAAGTCAAACTCCAAGGTCAAGAATTCAAAAATATTTTTATCCAAAGAAAGGACTTAATGTGACAATGAATATACCTGGAAAATATGAAAGCCCAAGCACCAACCATTCAGAAGTAATGGTCAAGGTTAATGTTTCTAAAAGTGGGTCAAACTCCAAGGTCAAGGTCAAAATTAATGGTATGCAGGTGGAAGACTTTGTCGTAAGAAATATATACATACAAAATTCAAAAGCCCTAGCACCAACTGCTCAAAAGTTATGGCCAAGGTTAAAGTTTTTTGAAAGTGGGTCAAACTCTAAAGTCAAAGTCAAAAATATCTATTCCTAGTATGGAAAGGTCTTGTCACGATGAATACACATGTGAAGTATGAAAGCCCCAGCACCAATTGTTCAAAAGTTATGGCCAAGGTTAAAGTTGGGTAAATTTTTGCTAAAGTTGGTAAAACTCCAAGTCAAGGTCAAGAGGTCAAATATGTTACTACCAAAAGGAAGGTCTTGTTACAAGGAATGCACATGTGAAATATGAAGGCCATAGCTCCAACTATTCAAGAGTTATTGGCAAGGTTTTTGTGGACAAACAGACGGACAGGGCAAAAACTATATACCTCTGAATCTTTGATTACGGGGGCATAAAAAGTGTAACATTTAAAGAGGGACAAAGCAGTGGGTGACCAGAAAAGCTCACTTAAACTTACTACTAAGGTGACCTAAAAATCTAAAGAACCAGGGGGTCAGAAAGACAAAACTTCACAACTCCTGATTCTAGCATGCTGCCCCAATAGAGGGTCTAAGTTTTATGTTGGAAAATACAGGAAATATCTTTAACAAGAGGCCCAAAGGCCTTAATGGTCACCTGTGTATTTAACTGATAGACAAAGCTCTTGCTTATTGTAACGTACTAGACCCAAGTGATCTCCTTGGGATCATACTTGGTTTCCCAAGTCCTATACTGTTATAGGGATGATAATGAATGCAAAATATACAAATACAATGGACACTTGCCTATTGTGTAAGGTATTCTATATATACAAAAATGTTTTGTTACTTGCTCAGTGCTACAACTCAGTACACACAGACTTAGGTATACAACTGGCTAATTGCCACTTGTCACTAATTACAATAAGTCACCTGGCTGAGATCTCTGTGATTCTTTGTTC